AGACGAAAGGCACAGAACTAGTGCAAAAAGAAAAAAGAAACGAGAGAAAATTATCGAAAAGATAGCACAAGGCGAAGAGCGGCTCGTAAGCAGACGTCTGTCGAGGCGGACGGAGCAGAGAGCAACAACGAAGCGAGCGCGCTGGACGCGCCATCGAGAGGAGCGACCGCCCCCGCTGCTGCACAGCAGCCAATGGCGGGCACGCTTTCCCCCGCGAGATATGAATGCGCTGCTCTAGCCAATCAGCGCTCCGCATCGCATCGCGGGAAAACGCCAATAGCGTCTCAACTGTGCTGCCGACGCCATTTTGCAAGGCGGCGAACGAGAGAGAAAGAATTCACGGTCAAAACAACACCAAAATGGCGCGGGACGACCGCATGGTCCGGGAATGGCGCGCGCGCGAAATTTGGTTTGATTTCGGGATTTGCGCCTGTTTTGGACGCCGCGGCGGCCTCGAAAATAGTATTTTTTTTGCACTTTGCGGTTGAATTAGGTGCTGATAATTACAGAATAGGTAGTTTATGAGACATACAACCCAAAAATGTGGTTTTTCAAAAAGCTACTTTTTCGCGACTTTTCGGTTTTCAAGGGCCGCGTCCCCCCTTAATTGTCACATATCAACCAAGAATTTTGGTGAAGGAGCGCAAGAACATCAACTTTCTTGTCCTTCAGCCTGCTCCACCTGCTCTGCACTCTTAAGGGACCAAGTTTATGCTGAAATGAGTTCGCTTGGTTCATTTAATACAATCACCTATTATCGATATTGCTACTATTTGTCTGTTTTTCCATCGATTGTTCGATAGCGATTGAGCTGTCGATAGTACCACCGATAGTTCTGCGTCACTTGCAGAAAGTGTGCGCTCATATAGAGTACTTTTTTTTTCAGTAAATGCACGTTATGGATGGACTATGCAGTGAAAGACTTTTCGATAATTATAAAATTCATTATTGTGTTGACTGCAGCTCACTCGTGTTTGCAGTTTTTTCGTAACTACAGATTACTGGGGAGGAGAGTGCTTAAATGGATCCACTGCTAATGGAGATCGTCGAGCTCCCTTGGGCAAATTGCTTTGTTTAACTTCCTTGGCTTAAGGGAGACAATGTGACACAGAATGCATCTTCGTTTACATAATGACGATGGAGTTAAACAGATCTCACGGATGTCTGTGGGACAGGGGTGTAAGTCGCGTCTTCAAGTTAAGGTGCCACGTTAAGAAGGGCTGATTAACTGCCTGAGGTTGGCGTGTGCAATGGCACTGCAAGCAGTGGCTGACCACAAATGTGTGCCTTGGCGTGCCGTATCGCACAGTTCATCAGGTGCTATATTTAAAGAGGTCCTCTTTATATAACTTTCTTTTATTCAAGTAAGTTTCCAGTTCCCCCGGCAATCTGAATTGAGGAAGTTCCAGAGTTATGCCATGCTAGGAGCTTGCCATCATTAGATGTCGGCGAGCATTTGTTTTGTCTTCTCATTTTGAGATGTTACGGTCCTTTACCGTATCATGATGCCTGCATTTAGGTTAACGAATTCTAAAAATCGTTTTGCACTTGCTGTTGCTTTCTTATTTCTGAAACAACTCACGGGGATCACATATTTAAAGTATATCTTTTAAAACAATGTGTGGAGTATTCTTGATTCTAGAACCAGCTTTTTGAGATGGCTGAACTCGTCTATTGTTCAAATAACAGTGTAAGGACTGTTGCGTACTTTGGCTGTACTCGTGCTGAACATGTATATAAAATGGGCTGTAGAATGCAGTCTCTCTGCCGGATTAGAAGTTGAATGAGCCAATGGTAAGGGTAAAAAAAACATTTGTGCGCTGCCTGTGGTTACCACCCTTTCTTGCCACCAAAGTTTGAGCCAATGATTGAGAATTTTCACCGCATCATGGTTCATGCTCGTTCTTGAATTGGTCACTGTGCTAATTATACAATAATTTACCGACAACTTCTAGCTACAGTGTTGCAGAGCAGGTTGTCATTGCTCTTGCATTGAAGGGCGGTGTACATGACACAATTTATTCAGATTCCAAGGCTGCTATCAAGGCATTTCAAATGGGTATGGTGGCTCCCCATGTCCTACAGACCCTTAAAAAAAGCCAAAGATCTCAAAAATCACTCATTGGTCTGGTTTCCTGCATACCTTGGAACCATTGAGGGTGCTTCGATCAATCCTAACGAGGAGTCGCATTCGTCTGCACGAGGTTTGACTGACCGTGTGCCGGACAACGCGTCATCTCTTGGGCAGCCCGAGCCTCTCTGCACATACACCGAGATATGCAAGGAAGAGTGCTGCCCCTGCCACACTCCTCGCTCTGCAGGCCCCAAGTTGTTACTCTCAGACTGCTCCAAACAAGAACCTACCCGAGCCCTGTGGCACTGCACACAGTGTACCCCGAACGTTTCTCAAGCCCGGATTGCCCCTTGTGTGGCAGTTATGCGGACTTGGAGCATGTCTTGTGGGGCTGTTCCTTTGCTGGTTCCCCGTTCTAACCAGAGGAACAAGCTGATTTAAGGCCCAAGACCTCGCCTCTCAAATACTGGCCGTCCAGAGGGCCGGTGTGAGGGCGATCAGGTTTAACCTGACCGTTCTTAAGTGGACCTAGCCAGGTGATGCTGAGTTAACTCGCATCTATTTCGGACCTAATAAAGTTATTTCACTCACTCACTCTCACCAACAGCATCCCTTTGCATGGAGGAAAAAAAATGTTTTAAAGATAACACAATGTATGGCTATCAGCTCTGCAAAGCGATCTTCTGTGACCCAGTTCTCTCCATCTTTTCACTTGCCGAAAACACGCTTTATGCACGCTTGCTAGTTGCGTGCAATATTGTTTCCAGACATATCATCACATTGTGGCAGGCTTGAATATCGTGGCTGTGGCTTTGGCGGCCGCGTTGTTGCTAATGTTTGCTTTCCGCTTTTAAAGCGTTTATCTATTGGCTTTGATACTTGGCAACATTGTCATCATTGCGACGGCAACACATTCCGCGCCACATTCGCTGGATTCGTGTGGCATTTCAGCAGCTGCACTGAGAGACTGTAGTCACTTGCAACTCAAAGAGGCAGGAGAGGCATTGCATAGATGACCAAAGCACGGAAGCAAATATGTGTGGCAACCGCTTGCCTCCACCACTGTAAAAATAGAGTCCCGCTCATGAACTCAACAATGCCACCAGATGGTGGGGCTCATGACGTCAATCCAGAGTGGACCTCCGTTGGTGCAGGTCTGTGTGTATTTGCCGCCTGAGGTGAAAATTGCTTTGCCTTCAAAATTTGCACCTGACTATAGAAACGACAGGCCAGGTGTCTTCATGTAAACGTTGAAGCACTTCGACGTTTTTTGCACAATTCTACCTACTGTCGAAAGCTTCAAGGTTATCACGTAGATCTACCCGATTACGATTTTCTTTCCTCTATGCCTGTTCGACTCTCTAGTTAGGTTCTTTTGAAGGCATATCTGAGGATGCATTCTCTGTCTTTTGAAGTTTTTACTCTATTATTTATCACCGTGCATTTCTTGTTAACACTTCATCATTGGGGTCTTGTTTTAACTGTATTGCACAGGGCCAAGCAGAATTTTCAAATAACGTAAGCTTTTGAAATTTTTGTTATAATCTATCTGCATTATATTTCTTACATTTTCACCTATCATTTGGTTTCATGCTTGACTTTATTTCAGCACTGTGCTAAAGACATAGTAGACTATGGAAACCTTTCAATAAAAGTGCTGGAGAAATTCTTCAGCTGAAATTTAGGAAGTCCAACTTGGAGATGGCTCTTTCAGTGCAGGTTTTCCTCGAGCACCTGTGTAAATGGAGCTGGAAAAAAACACATTTAGGTCCTCAAGTGAAGCGTTGAAATATTTAAACTCTGGCAGGGCTATATCTTCTAGGTCAGCTGTAATTCTTAAGTCGCTTCCTACTTATATGTAGGTAACTTGATTTTTGAAGCGCTTGAGCGGCAAGCGAACATTAAAAAAAAATGCACGTTGACGCAATGATTTATTTTGGCCTGAAAGTTCACAATTCTCAGATCCGGCTTCTGTGACGTTTGGTGCCAGCTTAATGATTGGCTGTAATTACCACGTTTTGAATAAACAGTTTGCAAATACCCTTAGAGAACTTAGTCTTATATACTAAGTTCTGGTTAATACTCTTAGTGAATTTAGTCCTAGAGCTAACGTGGTTGCTTGGGCGAGTTGGTATGACGTAATTCGCATAAAAACAGCGCCAATAACGAGGGCAAGAAAAGAAGCAGACAGACAGCAGAACTGCTGTCTTAGAGACTAAGTTCTGGTTAATACTCTTAGGTGACTTAGTCCTTAGTCTTAGAGACTAAGGTCTGGTTTTAATAATGTACACTTGCAATTATCTGTGGTGCGTGTGTGTCCAAGCTTCGGTCATGCGGGTCTTGTGCTAATACACATTTCCCAAAGAAAATAAATACACTGGAAAGATAGAAAAATACACTCAGAAAGGAGAGGACTCTTTATTAACCAAATGAATCAAGAAAGTAATGCTGGTATAATGTGAGACAAAAAAAAGGATAAAATAATTCTCACTATGTGTTAGCTACTGGGCCCGTAATTAGAGGGGGCTGAGAGGATAATGACCCCCCCCCCCTCCATTTTTTATTGCTTTAACTTTTTACGTGCTAGATTTACATGCCTTCACGTCAACCACCAGTTCCCAAAGTTAGCCGTTATACCCAAGAACACTCCCGAAAAATATTCCTGGGTACGGCCCTGATTGGCTATGATAGACAAAATGCAAAGCATCATTTCTGTACAAGTGCAATGCATGTGTGCTTTTTTTTTTTCATATCACGAAATGCTAGCAAAAACTTTTTAATACACTTCTATGCATTTATGTGATCTTTTGCCCTCGATGCCCTCACCAGGGAAAGCCTGTTTCATTTGAGTACAGTGAATTAATTTTCCATTTGCCACTGTCATTTATTTATGTTTTTTCTTGCCACATTTTCATCTCTTTTTCAGGTCACAATAGATCGTCATCCAGTTCGCTTCTTTGTTCACAAGCGTCCGCATGTCGACTACTTCCTTGATGTAGTAAGTGTGCGCCCATGGCGACAGCATCTTGATTTTCACTCAATTTTGCACTGGTGAATTCTAGAATATGCCTGCTACGTGTTCGCATTGGGTCCTCTGGTTGAACCACTGGACCCAAGAATAATGTTAGCAGTGTGACATGGCAGGTGAATCTACCATTTAAGTCCCAACAACAGTTTGTTTAAAGGGTCACGTTGTGGTCACGTTGCTGGAAAATGAGCAAGTCTCTCCTTTTGCGAAGAGCCTTGTTCCTGCCCTCTGTGGTACGGTGCTTTTTAAGCACCGCAGGAAAAACTATCGCACTGCAGCACGCGTAGGCATAGAGTGGCGGTGCATCGTTATCAAGTATGTGCATGAAGGAAATTGTAAGTCCGAAACGCGTATACTTGCAAAGACCACTTTCCAAGGTATGTTAATTTTCTAATTGATTTCTTTTTTTTTTGTCTTTTTTCTTGAACTGTGAACACTCATTGTTTTTTAGTCACTTACAATGCTTCTATCGGTGGAACTATACATTTGTGGGTGACGTCGGTTATCTAAAACGACTGGAAGAAAGTACGGTAGAGAGAATAGTAATAACGTGCCATGTCTTGCAATCCCAGGTATACATGTAGTAGACTGGGCAACATAAAACTTGCAAAAGAGAAATGATCACTGAAACATTTTGATGTGTTGGGGTTTGAAACCCCTCAACTCTGCATTCCCTTGGCTCTGCAAGTGAGGTATAGGTATGAGATTCAGGAGGATTGTCTCTTATTGCCCTAGCTGGTAATAACAGTTGCCGCAATGTAAAAAATGAACCCGTCCTCTTATGCATTGCTTTGTATCTTAGCATGATGGGTGCACCGTTTTGCAGTAGCACCTGTGATACAAGAACAATAAAGAGAAAAAAAAAGTGACTTTTGACAAACTAATAGAAAAACATTGTGTCGTTTTCTTTCTCTTTCTTTTTTTTTTTTTGTTGGAAGACTGTGTTGTCAGCAATAGATACACCACCAAAGCGTCTTGTAGGCTATGTGAACATGTTGACTTGCTGCATTGGCCCACACACATCCACCTGATTTGCTTGTATTTCACAGGCAAGGTCCGTTCGTCTGCTTTTTTTTTTTCGTCCTCACACACCCCGTAGTAGCCCAAGTGAGGCCTTACACGCAGTAGCCACAAACACAGGCACACACACAATCAGAACATTCCGAGAGTTTGGCCTTGATTTTCACATGAAGACACTTGTCCCGTTGTCGAATAGTCGGTTTATGGTCGGAGGGTCAGCAAGGGTTGGAAGGCTCCCTGGATGCCGCCATAATCATCTATGGGCTATTGCTAATGTGCGTGACTGCCCCCCAAAATGCACTGCTGAGTGATTTGAGCCTTTGTACTCCTGTGCAACGATCCAGAAAGGATATGACTTTGCGTGCAGCTGTCAGATCAAGAGTAATAATAATGAAAAAGACTTGCAGATAACAGTACATAGTTTCAAGTTAGAAAAGACGGTGTTTCCTGGGGTAAAATGTTTTCACATTTCATAATCGGAGAGATTGGGAGCTTCGAAATTCGATGCTTTTGTTTTGTCCATCCAGGTAGTGCTAGAGGAAGATTTTTGTTGTAGTGATAGGAATAACGTGTACTTTTGCAATACTTTTGGGTGAATTGTGTGTATACTAAAGATGAGGAGACCGTAACTACCATGTCCTTAAGCTACACATGCTCACATGTGAGCACTATTTAAAAATTACTACGGTATTGGTGACATTTGCAGCACAGTAAATCAAGATAATTTACGAGCTTCATTTTGCATTTATGCTTTCTTTATTTAAAAACCCTATGTTTCTCTGGACACAAAATCAGCCACAGGATATTCAAAGCTTTCTACAGAAGTGGGCCCCAATAGGTCTCTATATTGAAATATTGCCTGATTTAGATCAGTGAATTAAAGAGTAACACATACGTTGATGAAATTGAGCACTTTCGATAGACAATCTTGTCCTTTGTATATGCTTCAAACATGAACCTCTTCTACTAAGTACTTGCTGGACAAGTCTCCAGCAGAAGTTAGTCAATTCGGCTGTTTTTGTAAAGCTAAAGCAACAATAAAGTAAACGTCCCACAGTAATTTGCAATGTTGAAGAAGAAATAGGTTCGCAGTAGCCTTGAAGGGCTGGGCAACGAACAATGCCGTAACTGTAGCAGATTCTTCAGAAGATAGTCTTTGCTGAGGCACAGTCAGCCAAAAATAATGATGTAACTGGCACTCATTGTTGACTATCCATCCCCAACTACTAAAGGTTGGCTTGTTTTCAATATATATATGTTTGAACTGTACAGGGGTCAAGTTTTGGAATAATATATGAGTAAACAATATAGAACAAGCAAAACAACTGTCGCATCAGCTGGAAAAGCGACAAAAACTATGTTCATGCCGGCGGATGGAGACCGCCACCTTAATCTAAAGCCTCCCCTGCTTCCCATTATTGTATGCCTTGTAGTACTTGTGCCTCTTGACCTCAGGTGGCAATGGTCTAAAGCCTCCCCTGCTTCCCATTATTGTATGCCTTGTAGTACTTGTGCCTCTTGACCTCAGGTGGCAATGGTCGGAAGGCCGCTGCCGACTTTCAAGTGCTGCTTGTTTAGTTTCGGGATGCATTCTCCTGAAGGGCTAACTTCTTAAAGGGGCCCTGCGGCATCTTTTTAAGTAACCATCAAAAGCTTCATTGAGGGAGTTACAACAAATGCGTAGTTTACTGTTTGTGTGATCTTGAGCATGGGCACGTGGCAGCCACGGTAACTACGCAGTTGAAATAAGCCAATTACTGTGAATTTGGGTGTATGGGATCATTTCAAGAAAGAAGAGGGAACAATATCTAGCTGACTTTGAGCTGACATTGAGAAGCCTCATCTACCGATCGGCAGCATTTTTTGACAATACTGAACTGGTGTAGCAGGGCTCCTTTAAGTCCTGCACTTGGCATTGTCTTATTCTTCACTATTGTTGGAATGTGACAGTTTTGAAACGTTATGATTGTATGGTCTGCATACCAACTTTGTAACGTAGTTTAGAAACATTATTTATAGTGAAGCATAGATCACGGTGCCGTTACGAAAACTGCACTTTAATATTGCCCAGTGCCCTGTATATTGAAAATGGCAGTGAATGTTTTTGACATAATGGTGACCTCACAAGACCCAGGCGAGCGATTATTGAATAAGTGCTAACGCTGCAATCCGAGGTTCTTGTAGATCACCTATGCCTCGCATCTTTTCTCCTTCACACGTGATGTAGCATCATGGAAATGGGTTGCATAGTCACAGTCTCACAACTTACTGAACATTTTTGCAGAGGGCATGTATTTTTTCAGGATCTCTTTAAACAATTGAGCTATAGTATCGAATTTATAGCTATAATGAAGGGAAGAAAAAATAATGATGCCACTTCAAGGTGCTTAAATAAATTATCTGTTATAATGAAGCTATTTCCATGTTGGGTTCAGATTTTTCTAACAAGGTTTGACTGTTTGTAGCATGGATGTACAGCTGTATTTGGTCATTTCTTTGGGTCCTTAATTACAAATGTCGGTGCTGAGAAAGTATATGAGATGGGATGGTGTCGATGAGAACGTAGTGCATTTTAATTGACCCTACTAGTGCAGGCAGATATTGTGATAGGGTCTTTGAGCAAATGCATCTTACTGGAGGCCTAATTGGTTTTGATTACCCTTGGCAAGGTTCTGACTATTATTAAGTGCGTCATTTCGTGCTATGCAGGTAAGCCAGTGGTACGAGCTGGTTGTGTTCACAGCCAGCATGGAGATCTACGGCGCTGCCGTGGCCGACAAGCTCGACAACAACCGTGGAATCCTCAGGAAGCGCTACTACCGACAAGTAAGGACTCTGTGTATCCCTCTCTCTCTCTATTTGTTATTTATATCCCACGGGCGTTTAAAGCTGCAAGCAGGTCGTGGATATTGAAGCCCAGTGGGTCGCAGGGTGCAGTTAAACTGTGTGTATAATTTTTTTAATGACCACGTGCCAGCAAAGCCTTAAAAATGTTCGTGCAGCTGCTGTAAATTTTTCGGTCATTTCTGGGTGATTCCATGTACGATCGAACAAAGCATGGCCGGTTGACCTCTTAAATTTATTTCAAAATTTTATATATTGTTGCTTAATTAGTGGAAAGAAGAGATCCACAATTCGTTTCGCCATTAAAATTTTTTCGAAGCACGGTAAATCAATAATGAGAGTGCCTTGCTTACCTGCTCTGCTGTTTTTTCCCCACTGTGGCGATGAATGACAGAAAATGTATCAAAGCTACATACTTAAAATTCGTTCAGCTAAATATATGCATATTTGTGCGTCTTCGGGGCTCTCATGCTGAGTGTGTCACGAGCTTAATTCCTCGAGGCTTCTTAGCTCAAACGATCAAATGGTAGTTCTTAACAGCCTTCTCCATTCAATTTTATGAACCCAGTAGTAGTTGCATGTTGTGGGAGTGTTGGGGTGTGCTGTTGCATCCACACAGCTATTGATGTGGTAGCTGTTGAATGCCGCATTAAGCAAACAATCACAAAAAATGAAGGATTGCTGAGGCTAAAGTTTAACTGCCCTGCTTTTATTGCTTTCTTAAGCAGCTCGATTTCCTTTTGAAACACTGAGTAGCAGGCCAGAAAATTTGTTCGAGCCAACCTCACAGCTAGCTTGTCTCTCATAATAAACCTCTCTCTCTCACTACTCTATAATTACAGCGCAAGATCACAGTTTCGTTGCGATCTTTGTTTCTTTGAAAGAAATTGACGCTGTTTTTCTTTCTTTCCTTGCCTCTGCCCTCTTCAGCACTGTACACTTGATTACGGGAGCTACACCAAAGATCTCTCCGCTATCACGCAAGATCTGTCGAGCATTTTCATCTTGGACAACTCGCCCGGTGCCTATCGGTCCTATCCAGGTGGGAAATATTTTGTAATCTTCTTGCAGGGCTGAGAAATATGCAAACCTTTTCCAGTCGATGTTTTCTTGTGCGGAAAAATGTATACTCTCATTGGCTGCTCGTTAACTCCCAAATATTTTGTAGAACCACTGAAGTGAAACCTTGAGTGAATTGAAAAAGATGAACGATCATTTCAAAACTTCATCGGTGTTAATTTTTTGATCACAGGCTTGCTATAAGCAGATAAATTGAAGATCGAAGTTTCATTTTCAAATATTGGAAAGAAATTCCAGTGGTGGTGCATTTGGGTGACTTTGCCCAGTGTCTTCACATGTCAGTGTGATGTTACAGATGTCAAAGTATCTTTTGATTATTTTGCTACAGTGGCTCCGTAACAGTTTCCAAAACTTGTGCTTAGAGGGGGGCTACTACCAACATTCTGAGTTGTTTTCTTGCGTCAAGTGAAAGGCCAAGCTGGTGAGAGCTTTGAAAATTTGCTGGTAAGTGTGGGTGCACCTTGAAAAATTATTTACCTAATGTTTTCAAAGGCTAGTTTTGGTACACCACCTGTACACAATGCTTGGGCAGTGATTAAGTGCGGGCTGATTCATGGTAGTGATAACTTTCTATATATGACGTATGGCAAACTTTGACCGTAACGGCTCTGCAATTTTTTTCTTTGCAACTGCTCCGATAGTTCCTCCAAACCAGTATCACTAAATGTGTCAAATCTGTGCACATAAAGTTCTTGATTTTCACCAGCGTGATTAGTGTCTTGTCTTAGCGCTTTGGCGGCTTGACCTGGCCACTGTCAGCTTGATTTGTTTCTTGGAAATTTCGTCGGCCACGATAGTGACGAGGTTGACGCCATGAGTAACGCGACCTGCTAGGCATAGCAACATTTCTGGCTGACATGGGTATGCATGTGCTTGTGATTTGGCACATGTGCTGTAGCGCCACCTCAAAGTCTTCTGAAACTGAAACATTCCTTCAGTGCGAGAAAAAACACCAATTTCCCATTTCTCAAGCTCGAAGTTTGCTTTGAACAGAAATAATGCATCTGGCATTGTAGGTTTATGAACCTTGACTGCACCGGTGTTCCGTAATTTTTGTAATAAATAAGTAACCAAGAGGGTCATGTGGCACTTGTGCGTATATGGGGCTGCTTGAGTGACGCTTCAACCATTATGGGGATAATAGAAAGTACAAGCGTCTGATCTACTTCAGATTCGTGGTGCTCGTTTACTTAGTGTAAAACAAAATGATAAGAAGCTTTTCCAATGAAAACTTGCTTAATTCTTCTGTACATAAAACTTATTGCAGAATGTTTGTATGACTGGTAGATTGTAGCAAGGCTGATACAAGTTTTAACCATTTGGGTATTATGCATTGCTCTGCAATTGTATTCAAGACTTGGCATTACCAAAAGATGAATAAATTTTTTTACACCTGAAAACTAAGATAGGTGTTTTTCGCTCGAAATTACTCATCACCTATTTATGAAAATAAATATACTGTATTGAGGAAGAACCAGTAAAAAAAGTTTTCTGCTGCAATGCCAGCCCGTCTGCCAGTGTGCAGAACAACTGTGAGAGCAGCGGCACGTGCAATGTATCGCTTGTTTCGTTGTAAAGCGGATTCATTAAGTAGAGTAGATCATTGTCTTTGTGGTTCACGCCCTTGCTGGGGATCAAGCCAAGCATGGCGGTGCTTTTATACCCCTGTCACACGTGGCAACTTAAGAGTACACTTCGCCGCAAGTGTCATTTGCACGCTGTCACACGAGAAAGTTTAGTGTCACGCGCTGCAAAGTACTTTGCCGACAAGTGTGTTCGCCAACCTCGCTTCGCTGAGATGGCTGCGATGAAGTGTGTAGTCTCGGTACTAGTGGCTTGTACAGACATACGCTGTTGCCTGAAGTGGTGCTCATACTCTTTTTAAGCCATTCCTTTTGCTATGAATAATACTGCTATCTATTAAAAGAACTCATAATACAACGAAAAAACTCGCTACTCTAACCGTCGGGCAGTTTGCGGCCATGTCCGCTAGGGGAATGTGGCAGGACATGCTGTGCGATGGCTGCGTCCATCGCATTGTTTACTTCCGGGAGCACTTGCTCAAGTGTAGGTGAGTTGTTCTCTAGTCATTTAAGATGGCGCATCCCGCTGGTGCTACTTCCACGAAGACAGTATGGTCCGACGATGAGACACAAGTGCCAAATTAACAAATATACATTTTGCTACAAATCCGTCAATTGCCATTGCCATCATTTCCAAAGTACACTTCGCTTTCTCGTGTAGCAGGGAAATCCAACAATGACACTTCGTGAGCGTTAAGTATACTCGCTCAAAGTGCACTTCAGTTGCCACGTGTGACAGGGTGGGTATTACTTTGCTTTGTCATCGTTTTGGAGCCAAGATGACTGCGTCTAGCTAAGATGCAATTAGATATATAATAAAAGTGAAGTCTATACAGTTCTCTGCATAAATTTGGGATGCTACATCAGCGCATACCTGCGAGTGAATGATGCTTTGCTAAAGCCCTCAAATGAAATCTGTAAAGTCACAACGTCACCGCAAGCCAGGAGACCTAGTGTGCTCCAGCCACTTTCAACAACAAAGACCCCGCTTCAACGATTTGCCTGGCCCTTAGACACGATATATATTGGCCATAGAATACCATAGGCTTTGTGGCAGGATGGAGCTGCTGCAGATGGAACAAAAGTGAATCTGTAGGAGAAGTCTTCTACTACATGCTTTGCTAACGCAATCCGATCCAAAGCTGTTACCGCCCATTTTTGTCATGGTGGTTGAACGATCGCAGCGCCATATTTTCATCCAGCTTATAGAATGGAACTCTGTAAGTTATGTTATATTACCACGTTGTAATGTTTTGTACTCTGTCGCTTCTGTGATATTTTGTGTTTTCTTTTCTCGCCCCCCTTACTCAATGTCCCTACGGGAACCTGTAAGGTAACATGAATAAATAAACAAACTCTATGTGTCGTCCTTAGCACCAGCGTAACAACAGTCATTGAGGAATCTTTCTGTTGCAACATTCCCTCTGCTTCTTGTTTTGCGCTTTATTATCCCCCTGTTTTGCATTTGCCCTCGCAGACAATGCCATCCCCATCAAGTCATGGTTCTCGGACCCGAGGGACATGGCGCTGCTCAACCTTCTGCCCGTGTTGGACGCCCTGCGCTTCACCAGCGATGTGCGCTCAGTGCTGAGCCGCAACCTACACCTTCACAACATGTGGTAGCGTTTGCTGTGGATACTTTGTCATCTCCTCCTCCTCCGGCCGTACAACGTCTGAATTGCTGCCGTCGACACCTCAGGGGCGACGTCCGACGCTTCTTCCTGTCAGCCTCCACATTCGAGCCCCCAGCAGCCCAAACTCAGCGTTAGGTCATGTTTGGTGACGACGAACAATGTTGATATTTCAGCAATCTAACGATGAGTGTGGCCTCTACGGATTCTCCGCCGGAATCGTTGGCACCTTGATGGGACCTGCTCGTTGCCTTGCGCATGGCCGTGGCTTCGTTGCCGACCGATGCCCAGGTGGAACTTTGGGTTTTAGAGTAAAGGACAGGACCTCATTGGTGCCTCCACTTTCTCTCTGCTTCTTTTGTGACAAGCCACTACATGTTCCTGGTGGTCTGCGTTTGCCCGCAACCCTGAAAAAGTATGTCTCTACCGAACACCCACCACCACCGGACACGTTCAAAATATCAGCACCAGCGTAACCGTCATTACAATTCGAATTTGGAAAGAGCGTCCTTGCACTGTTTTCTATTCAGCAGCCGCTATCCGGCTTCTGCCTCGATGGAACGGGGCAAAAATCTATGCGGCTGTGTTGTGCATATGGGCCACGCGTGTGGAACACTGGGACACAACAATGTTCCTAGGTTCATGTTTGGTGGTGCGCTTTGGAAGAGACTTTTTTTGCTAGGAAGTGAATTTTTTCAGGATCAATGAGAGTGGGCGCTTGTGTTGTGGCACTGGAGTCAGGGGGACTCATGCCCCTTGTCCGTTGCGGCGCTATAAATATGCTTGATACGACTAAATGAAAGCACGCTGTGCCATCACGTACGTCTGGGCCTTGGTACTGCACCTGTACCGCTGTTGTGGTTGTTTGATCGGCGGACTTTAGCTCTAGAACAGTTATTTTCTTCTTCTCTTTCGATGAAAGGTGATAGATCGATGGATGCAGCGTCAGTGTTATGGACCTGTATTGTGAAGGCGAGAGATGAATGATGGATGGTCTTGAGATTTGTAACTAGTATGCTGTTTGATGTGTCGTGCGTCAAGCATGGCAGAGAACTGACCCACCATCTTAAAATCATTGCGCCTTTATCTTGGCTCACCAAATTCATGTTATACTCTCTAACGTGATGCAAGATAGTTCATTGTTTGAAATTATAAATCGATTTGTGCTACAGTAGTTCTGCTCTGTTTGCATGAAACGGGCACATCTTTTTTTTTCTTTTATGCTGGTGGTACAAATATGTTCTCTCGCATTAAAGTCTCGCCATCAATGCTTGAAGCCATCATTTCTTGTAATGTAAGCCTAATTGTAGGCACAGAATATAGCATTTTCCTCAGTTCTTTTTTTCCCCTTCCATCTCCAGAGGCTGTACTCTTGGTTGATCACTTTTAAGGATACTTTCAGTGTTGTGTGATGGGACACCTGGTGTGACTCTAGCTGCTGGTGGTGTGTGGAAGGCTTTATCCTCGAAAGTGATTGACCAAGAATGCCGCTCGAAGACTTGTTGACAAAATTTGCTTCTATGTTAGTCACTTCATACATAGTGCATCTCAAGCGTAAATGTGTGTGGGCCTTGGTGCTGTGTCAATCTCTTTTTTTTTTTTCCTACGTGTTGTGTTTAAAGAAAACTCTCATTATCTTCATACTTGCTGTTCTTTTGAATGTTCCGAATGCATGAATGGTGGCTGGAGCCAAAGTCTTGTGTGAAGCAACCTTTCTGCACTCTAGATGAGGCACAGGGTTGTCAGAGTTCAAAGACTTTGTGCTGCGGCAACACGGAAGGTAGTGATTTAGCTCATATAGGCCGTTTAGACCAATTCATTTGTTCATTAGCTGGCCTAAACAGAATAACTTGGATGTGGCTTATATGGCTCTTTTTTTTCCAGCTCACATTATTCTCATTTTCATGTCATTCAGCGCTGGAGCTCTTATTGACTGAACTATTTCGTACTCTACGTCACGCGAGGTTCTATCGCATCATTTCACCGGCAACCAGAGGTTGCTTTGGCCAGCACGACATTACTTTTAGTTTACCAATACGCAAGTGAGCGGATAGCATTGTTGTCAGCGTAGTGGCACATTCTGTCGATTCTTTTATTGACCTGGTGTCGCCACCACATAACCTAAGTCACACTTAAGTTATTCTTAAAGTGTATTCTAAAGGAATAGTATCCCTTTTTTTTTTCTTTCTGAGGGGGGTGGGGGTGGTGGCGTTTAACAGTATAGGTACAGCCACCTCATCAATTGTTGAGTTTTTTTTTCCTTTGCTTTGTTGAAAGTGCTTTTCTTCGTGTTATATGCTGCCGTGATTGACCTCTCGAAAGCAATGTTACGTGTACGATTTTATTTGATGTGTACCCCACCTCCCGGCATTACAATTGCGCGTGCGGGTGTGCCGTGGAAAAGCCTTTTCTCGCGACCCCGCCGACTGTATATTTTGTACATAATGTGCACTCATCACACGAAACACACGAGTTAGATGTATTCCGAGAGAGTTGAGTACAGCTCAAGCTTTTTTCTTTGTTTTTGTACAAACGTCCTGTGATTGTACAAAATAAGAACACAACACAGAAAAAAAAAGACAACTGTGAATAAAGTGAGCTAAGCTTTGATTGTTTGAATGTGGCCTCTGGCTAATTTTTTTCGCAGCGTACCGAAGTATTGATTTGGGTAGCGAGCGTGTCGGTGGTAAACAAGCTGCCATGCGCTTTGAAATCGTGTCGGTGCCAATCCGACTGCACTTGCCGCCGCGGCAAGTGCTCTGCACGCCGGGAGCTTTTCCTCCGTTTTCAAGCATCTCTCTATTTTTCTCCTCGGTTTTGCTGACCCAAACCAAAAGGGAACATCGAAAGCACCACGTAGAACGAAAATGCGCCGCTCTATCGGGCGTCGGTCTCGTGTGCGATAAAAGAAAAAAAAAGTGGTCAGACAAAAAACAGCAAAAAAGACGCATCGAGATTCTGACACGCGATTGGCTGGCAGCGGCCACATGGAAGCGCCGACAACCAATCGCAGTAGTCGATTCTCCCTGCACACGTTCTCGCAGCTCGCGAGGCAGGCACAGGCATAGCCGCCGACGAAGTCTGCATCCCGTAGATTTTGTCTCCTTGGCACGGGTACGTACAAAATTTTTCTCGCCCATGGTGAGCTTGAACGCTCGCTGGCGTTTTCACTAGTAGCTCTTAACTACGTTCTTGTGAAGAGCAAGCGTTAATTTTCGCCTTGTTTTTCCTCGCTCGCGGTCTCGATTTTCGCAGCCAATCGGACAAGACAGGCTGGAGCGGCTAGCGTAACACTTTCTTCACAGGACGGCCCTTCACGGATACAGTACGGTAAGGAAACGAAGACGTTCTCTCTACCTCACGCCTCTCGAGACAAGTACAGTTTATATTGCGAGTGCCGTAGATCCGCGACCTTCTTTTATCAGCGCAAGCCCTCGCGTGGTGTCATGTTGTCGTTTTTCCCGGAGGGGGTTTATCCCCCCCCCCCTCCGCACCTCCGGCGAGTCGATGACACGTCGACGAATATTGGCGAATAGGCTTAGAACCGGGTTGCATCGCGTTAATTCTTTCCGATTACACGGCCACCCCGGCGCCTGTGACCTGCGTGAGGGCGCAGGATAAGCCGTGCCGAGTGCGGTTCTGCCGAAGTCCTTGGGACCTGCTTGCAGTACCGTGGCCACGTTGGCACCGCTTGTCCCTCTCTAGCTCGTAGGCATGTTGTAGATCCGGTCAATTTCAGCATCTCTCCTCTATTTTGTTTTTTTGCACGGGGTGGTCCCTCGTTGACTGTTCGCGTTCTTTTTCTTGATGAGGATAAAGGACGACGAAAAGAATTCAGCGAGAACGCGTGGTGTTTGTGCACTACGTGCGCCCGCTAGCATTCGCCTCGCGCTGCACGCAGCGGTGGCGTGTTTTGACCGTGCCAGCCCGAGACGGCCTGCCGGTTGACCGCCGACCGCCCCCTTCTGGTGCGGGGGGAGCAAAGCATGCCAGCATCTCGCGGGTGGCATGGGACGTTCCACGCCTGTAGTAACGGCGGCTCGATGTGTGGCGATTAGCTCGTCTTATCTGTTGCGATCGCTCGTCTGAGTGCCGGACAAATCTTTTCTAAACAAGTACTCGCGTACCCTACTCCATCCGCTGCGGTATCTTGCGTTAATTAGAACTCGGCATATGAGCACACCATCTGTAGGGTGCTGGAAAGTCGACATCGGAGGCGCAGATCCGTTATCAGTGCAGCGGGCCAGAGTCCACGTTGTCACATATGCGTGTGTCATTTCCGTGAGCTTCCATCACGGCGTAGAACACGTTCGTGCTGGCCAGTCGCGTTCGTATATTTGGCCTAAAGCTGCTTTTGGCGAAAGGCTGGAGCAGCCTTGTAGATGACGATGTGCTCCTGCGTAGTGGCGGCCGGACGTGACTGCGACTGCCCCGTAAAGCCTCGCACGTTGTGCATTTTGGAGCGGTCAGCCTTCTCGCGTTGACCGCAATTGACCGCCAAACTATACCGGATTGAACGTACGGTCCAGGTGTGTTGAGGCCGTTCCATTTGCATGTGCGAGAAAAAAAAATGTATGTTAACCTGCGGAAGAAACCTGAAAAAGCTGGGACATTGTCACGCCGGCATTGCTTAGCAATTAAAACGTGCCTGAATGCTGTCGTAGCATATTGTCTGTGCTTGGTGGCATCCATTACTGCTCGCACGGTGCTTGTTGCTATAGTTGTCTTTCCATTGAAGTTGATCAGTATACAACAGGATCTAATGCGGTTCCTAAATTGAACATTTCACAGGACTGCAGTCATTCAGTGCTCATGCCATGGTCATGTTTCTGCGTAATCTGATTAGGGTTTCATTTTGTCTCGACCAGGATTAGCGTCTAGCATGCTGAAGTGTAGCTGTAGCTTTGAGGTTATTTTGTAAGCTGTCTTATCAGCTTCCAGTTTTGGGAATATGGTCAGAGCAACACTTCTACATAGGTTAGAAATGTGCTTCCTTGTCAAGCATCTGTGTGTGATTAAAGAGTGTTGCACTTACTGCATGGTTTGCTGAATCCTTGTGTCAACGAGTGCCTACTTATTCTTGGTGGCAGAGTACTGTGACAGTGAAACCCACTTCCTTGCATGCTATCAGACCAAACACCAATGCAGTCTGGCTGGCAAAAAGAAACATGTTGGCGGGATATTTGATTGGGGTTTATTACTCTGTCACACAACTGGACTGGGATGGCAAAAGAAATTGACACAGAACTGAACGTAGCACTGGGTATACATGTCAACTTCTTTAGTCTTTACGAGCTATGCCTTAGTGAGTTCTTCGCTCGCAGCACATATTCTGAAAGAGCTCTGTGATACAGGCATGAGATGTAACATGAACCACACCAAAAATGACGTGCACATTTGTAACACCGTGAAAATCTTTTAGTCCAACATTGGCAATGCTTTTCTGGATACCTGCTAACGTCCGCGAGTGTCATTCATTCCGGGATCATTGAAGAAAACAAATTTAGTGGTTGCTGTTTAACAAGGTAAAGCCATATCATACCAATATGGTACGTCAGTTTTGTATGTTTAGGCTGACTGTCTGTGATATTATGCTTCATTCGTTGGTGTACTGCTGCCTGTTAGCCTGCTCATTGTATTATCAGTTAGGATGAGGCTGTGCAGTCGGTATTTTGTGCGGGAACGTGTGCAGGCAATTTCAAGTGGCTAAACCAGATTGTAAGATTATCCGATTTCTTGCATTGTGCAGATTTGAGCGATCGTGGTATTGTTTGTTCAGAATTTGTAGTGTCGGAACAATAGGAAGCCCGTGCCTAAGGACAGGTGCATAGAAGTGGTTGTACCTTGTACAGGCGCATGTTAGACGGACCGAGTGGCAATGCATGGTACAACAATCTTCCATTGTCCAGAGCAAGGAATGATGCCCTGTCGTTGAAGTTACACGCCTGCAGACATATCTCACACTGCAATTTTCGGCTGAAACGGCCTTCGCACTGCATGTTTCCGAAGGTTTGAATGCTTCCAAGAGCGACAGCTGAATGGGTGGAGAGGGGGTATTATAGGTGTGAATACCCAGAGAAAAATGCACAGAAGCTATAAAAACGAGTTCTACGAATGTTCACTGAAACGTTGTAGTACAGCAGTATGTCGTTCAAGGCCAACTGTGACAAAATTCTGGCTGCTTATTGCACTCTCGTTTCAAAAATGGTAATCTACAGCTCTTGCCTTCATGCGGACTTTCACAGTTTGTCTACTTGCATGCTTTTTCAAGATAAAACGTTAAAGGCCAACTATGGCCAGATTTTCTGACCACGTCAATGTAATGGCAGTTCAGTGTTCCTGAGGGGCCCCTGCCACATTCCTAATGTTAGAAATGGTCAGCAAATTTGAAAGTAATTTTAAGCGAGCAAAAAGATGAAAAATATGAGGTGACCCTAAAGCTTTGCCTTCAAATGTGGAACGCCATAGTCTTTTCCTATTACCTTTTTTAACCTTTTGTTGGACACAACGAGGGAACAAAAGTTATCATGTTTAAAACATTTTTAGTGAGCTATTTATCACTTCTTGATCCCAAGAAAACAAATCTGAAAGTCGAGAAGTGTTTTATTGCAAAGAAAAAAGTGGGACCTATATGTCCCACTGTCCACTTAGGTCACTTCGATAAAGTGGGACTCATATGTCCCGCTGTCCACTTGAGGCAGTTCACACTTTCTTGTGAAATGGTGCGAAGCAAGTTGCACACAGCGGAACATTGCACACTTTGCACATATACCTCGTGCGGACTTCTCTTTTGCTGGTTGAGCACCAGCGGCACCGCCGTCGCGTGCCTGTGAAGCTTGGGTGGTGAGTGTTTCCGGAGAACCGACTCTCATCCGGAACACCAGTCATCGCGCGACCGTTGCTCTTGCCTCGCTTATTCTTGAAGGCAGTGATGGTCCTCCGAGGCTTGCGGAAGCTCCTTTGTGCGATGAGTTGTCTGCCAAGCTTGAGGCGGAAGTGAAGGTATCCAACATTCTCGATGGAGTTGGCTTGTATAAATGCGTTGACAATCGCCGCATCAAGAATGAAGTAGAAAATTCTACTCCACCATCGCTTAGACCGCCGGTCTGCAGGGTAGGCATTCCTCTTTTGATCGAACTTGTCGACGCCACCCATCCATGCATTATAATCTTTGACCACCTGAGGGCACTCCACTGATATTTTTTTGCCATTCGGCAGCGTCCTTTGAACATCGACGCGACATTCTGGTTCGTGGTAATTGGACATCAGGTGGACATTCTTTGTGTCCCTCCACTGGTAGGCAATGACGTCCCGCTTTCTTCGCCACAAGTATGAACCCCTGTCCATCTTGTTGTCAGTTTTCACCTCAGGCGGAAGGTCTTTCTTGTTTGTACGGAAAGTTCCGCAGGCAAAAATGCCTATGTCCCGCAATTCTTGCAAAAGTTTTGTTCATGAAAAAAAATTATCGAAAAACAACTGAGAACCAGTGGGCACGACACCATCTGCTAGTGAGAGAACAATATGCTCACCTAATGTGCGGTCAAGTGGTTTTTGAGCGTTTTTCCCCTCGTAGAGTTGAAACTGGAGCAGGTAGCCCGTTTCGGAGTCTGCGAGGGACCATACCTTGTAGCCCCTCTTTATCTTGGGCTTCATAGGCATGTATTGCTTCAAGCTTGAGCGTCCTTTGAACAAAATCATGCTTTCATCAACTGCAACATGTGTCGATGGGTTGTACTCTGTCTGAAACTTTTTGTTCATCATGTTGATCAAAGGACGCACTTTATATGCGCGATCAAAATCTTTGTCACCATAGCCTGGCATTTTGTCGTTGTCGTTCAGATGAAGACAATTGCATATCATCTGAAACCGCTTGTATGTCATCACTTTGGCAATTTCATTCACGTAGAAAAAGCTATCGGAAGACCAGTACATTTGAAGTTGATGCATGCGGTTGACGCTCATAAGGATCAGCATCCCAATGTAAGCTTCAAGCTCATCGCGTGTCAGCGGCACCCATCCCTTTCGCTGTGTCTGTTCAGCATAGAGATTTGTCTGTTCTAGAATATGGTCCAACACCTCATTATCGAAATACAAGGAGAACGCGTCAAGGGCAGTGATTGTCGGACTGAGTCTTTGGGAGATCGTGAAGCTGTGATTCGTAGGCGTAGGCATACAAACAGTCGACGTATCCCACTGAGGTCCTTCTGAATCATTTTCAGTGTCGGCTTTCGAAACAGCACTTTTCCTTTTTTTCTTTCTTTTGCCTGCATATGGTGGACGCCGTCTTTTCTTCAGCATGCTCGACGAAGCGGGGGGAGCGTTTTCAACATCACTCTCGTTCTCGCTGGACTCATCGGGTGGTAGATCCCAAACTTCATCTTCACTGCTTTCGAACTCTTCATCATCACTGTTGTTAGAGTTCTCTGGCAAGCTCCAGAATAATTCAAGTGCTTCTTCAGCAGTGAGACGTTTCTTGTTATCTTAATAAAAAAGAAAAGAAGCAATCAGTATGGACCGAGCTGCCCCCACGCTATTGCTGCGCAACGCTAAGCCTAACGTGGAACAGGTGATTCCCACTACTATTCGTAAAACAGGTTCCGTTTATCTATGCACTGCTAAACATCACAAAATATACCTGCTAGTTATTTGTAAGTGGTTACTGAAGTGCAAGAAAGACAAGATTTACTCACCAGACATTTTTTTCTTGCTTGAAAGAACCTCACAAAAACACCGAAAAACTGCAACGCGCAAGTGAAAAAACAAAAACTGCTTCTTGCCTTGTTGCATGCTTCCACCTAGTGGAAACGCCACGAAATTGCATACAGAATGTTCTAGCATACTCAATAGATGGCGCTAGTGGCTTGTATGTGATTGCATGAGCTCTCTCAAAGAGCTAGGGCGCCGAGAGCGTGGAATAATAAGTGGGACGTATATGTCCCGCTGTCCAACAAAGGGTTAAACACTTAGTGCAAGAAACCTTTTCGAACTTGCGATGCACCCATTATTTGGCCTTTAAGGGAATAAATGCAGTAGCATGTGGGCCTTTTGTAGTGGGTGACCGGCTTTAAACCATGAAGCCACTCTGGTAATCGCATGTTTTGACACCCGTTGGGAATTGGTACTTGTGCCACGCATTTTTACTGCAATATTTAATGTTGAATTATCAACCATGTATACAAGATGTGTGTGTTTGTAAAGCATGAAGGCTACTTTCACAGCATTTTCAAGCAGAGGAAGTTATTTTCACTGTATTCACAAGCAGACGCATGGCCACGCAAACGACCCGGGTTCGATCTCCACTTGTACCCAAACAACCCTGGTTTTGTCCCCACTCTGAGCCAGGATTATTTCTCTCGTTTATTTTATTTGCATCGCTCATAACCAATGACACCAGAATTCCTGCACAACGAGCTCTTCAACGCTATTGCGTTAGAACTGCACCCTATCGGTATACAAGAAAAATATCGACATGTCCTATCTAGGACACCAGGGCTTAGTAGTTGTAGAGTGTAATAAGGGGAGTTTAAGTACTTTTATTTATTTTTATTATATTAGCACGTGTAATCGGTGTGAAACTAGCATGTAGCTGCCACTTATTAGTTGCAGTGCCAGCTTTTTGCACTGATGATAAACTGCTACTCATTGCACTTGGCCATAGTGTAGTTATTGGACACTTTCAAGATACAACATCGTAAAGGATTGCCAAATTCTGCTTCAAAGTGCCAAAGTTCTTTCCACCTATGCCTGCAAGGGCAAGCTGATAGAACTGTACTTGTCATCTTCTAGCGCTCTTACGCACCGCTCAATAGTGCAAGGAAGTAATTCAAATTCATGACGTACTATCTCGTTATTTGAGACCCCTTACTTATTAGGGAGTTTCGGAATAGGGTCTGCGGTGCTTTGGATACTCGCCCAATGCTCTGTCAAGTCACCTCAGTGGGTGCCATCAGGTTTTGTCTGACACAAAGTTTTTGGTGCTCCCACTATATTCGAAAAATAGCCTCTCCAGCCTAAAACACAAACACGGTTTCGGGCATGCGCAGTGGCCTTGACACTATTTTTTGGGGGGCTCCTATTCGAAAACTTCCTATTAACTAAGAAATCTGGGCAGGTTTGTCGACTAGAATAACAGGAAATTTGGAGCAGTCACAAAAGCTACAGCAACGGATTTGCATGAATGCATTCAGAGCTGTGACAACCACTGAGCCCTGGTGTCTTGTATTTAGGACATGAAGGTTGTTCATTGCTGTGGGCGACGTGTTGGAGAACACCCGCTTTGCAAATAGAAAATTAAACATTTTTGAAACAGTTATAAAGAACTGACAGCTACCGATATAATAGTTAGTGCACAAGACATTATCGAATATACGGTTGCGGGAGTATTGAGGATACCTCGGACACCTCTTTCAAACTCCAACTCAATTTTATCACAATTGGCAGCAAAATTTTTTTGTCCTATAAGACATCAGAGCTGAAAGGGTTAATATTAGTTGTGATTGTGTAATCATAATTATAATCAGTCACCATACCACAGTTTAACACGACCTCTATACTAAAAAAAAAAAAAAAGCTGCCTTTATCAATGCTTCATTGCGAATGAAAAGAAATGAAGTAACACAAACAAGAAATGTCATCGTCTTTCTTTTAGTGAGGTCAGTTTCCTGTGTTGTGCAGGGTCAATCGTTGCTGCATTCACAGTTCTCAAGTATGGCTCTCAGTTTGAGATGTGCTTTCGTCGCTATTCACCCTTCCACTAGCTGGTCGACTTTCCTGACGTGGCCCTAAGGATTAAAGATTTCTCACCTGAAGGAGCACCACCTACATTTCCTGAACCACGCTTATGCCATACTCGGCAAAGCTGTCTTTTCGTTATTCGAGGGTTTCATTTGTGTGGCTAATGGCGAGACTGTGTTGCGTGTCTCGGGAAGGATCGTAAGCGCTGGTGCAGTAGCTGTAGGTGGTTGTGAGACACATTCTTTCCTCAAGTCTGTAGCATAATCACTTATTCAAGTGAGAACTTCTATCTTGCTTGCTCAGCAAGTGTGTAGGATTCTTCAAGTGCACAAAAAATTATTTTTTTTTACGCCTATAGCAACCTTTTTTCTCGGCAGAGGCCTTTGTCCCGCCCACCTGGGCAGATAAATGGCACTTCAGGGTGGGACAAGCGAGGTTTCAGTGCCTTTTTTTTTTTTTTTTTTGCTCTGTCAACCACTGCCAGCATTACACCGTGCCGCTTGCGTCTGCACTCAAGTTTAGTTCTTTGACACTCTCTCATTCTTTTTTATAGTCTGAATCTGCAGTAGTTATGGCTTATTCAAACTTCAGGCACATAGATATAGATGTTTGTTAACCTTAGCATGTTGCTTAGCGTGGCAGCAAAATATATAATACTCTAGGGTATTCCTGAAAGGTGTACTGGCCCATATTTTTGAAGTTATACAAACCCCTACCGCGTACTTCCAGCTCAAGCTCATAAGAGTACTTCACTTGGCGGATGGGGAGATTTGGAAACACTTGTACATGTAATGTGATACTACGTTGTTTTAAAGGGACACTAAAGTCAAATCGCAATTTATGTTATAGTGAAAGCTCTATGTATGACATCTAACAAAACAATATTATCAAGAGCAGTGCCCTACTACCACGAAATTAATAGGTGCATTCCACTGGTAGATCCGGAGTGGCCGCCGAAATCTTGGCATGAGCACTCCGAGTGTGCCAAATGAGATCTGCGAGTCGAACACGTGAATGCTCTGCGTGAGGTCTCTCTGGAAATTTTTTACGCACACGTCACTAAACCGGTACCGGAAACGATTTTCTTTTCTGCTCTCGACGTTTCAATGAAAACTGTGTCACCACTGCAAAGCACGCATTTAGACCAAGCAGTCTCGCGGAAAGCACGGCTACCGCTTTCCAATTTTAGGAATGTAAACAAGAGCACAGGGTTACCAGACCGTCTCAAAAAGCGCTGGGGGCAACCCAGCTGCCCGACTGTATTGGAAATGACAACGCATTCTCGGAGTTCCGGCAAAATCCGTCTCTGTAAGACGGAGCGTGCGGAACTCTCCTTCGCGCAGTGGATTGCTCTGAATCTACCAGTGGAAAATGCGAACTTGCTCCGAATCTACCAAGCGAAACGTAAATTGTCAGCTTTGGAGCAAGAAAACTTACTCCCGCTCGAAGAGTGGAATTCGCCATAAGGTAAATGCATGAGAACCCATATGCCACAACTTGGACATTTGCGAAATGATCCCAATAATGTCACAGTTACCAACTAAAAGTAATCACTGGTAATCAAACTAGCTGCACTAAAGAACCTTTCATGCACCATGAAACATGATAAAATGCTGCCTTGTTCGTTTCTGTTTGATTCATAGAATAAAGAACCGCCAGACGTTACTATGGGGAACGGCACGAGTGGTTCAAAAGTTCAATTTTCGCCTCACTGTATAGATGATGCTATGAGCGTCCCCTTTCCCTTTATAATGGGGCGGTGACATGCGTGCCAGGCTTGCAAAAAAAAAAAAAAAAAAAAAACTAAATCTTTTTATGTTGGCCTAGTGCCTTATCTATTTAGATTAAATCGATCTTATTATAAAAAAGAAAGATACATAAATTTGTGTTTCATCTCTCCGCCTCTGCAGGCAGACTGAGCTCATTTTTCCGCTATTTCTGTCCTTTAGCTTTACTTTTCTGTCACCGATACTCTGTCCCTTACTTGTTTCTATCGCGGACATGTTCAGCTTTCCATATTTGTTCCTGAAACCCAAAGCCTCATGTAGGCTTGTACCCATTAAACTGGACAGGTCCTGCCATTTAGTGGGACCCACTTGAACCAAGCACGCTTGCGATCTCGACGGTCATGGCAGATAAGTGTTCAAAGACCGTTGTTACTGCTGTGGCTCCCACTACTTTTGCTCTGCTGCTACTAGTGTCAGTGGCTGCGCTGTAAAGCCGGGCAACATGGTGTGCGGCAACAGTGACGTGAGAAAGCCACCTTCAGGCATGGGATTTGAAGTGCGCTAACGCGATGCGGACCACTAAAACGCGATTTTATTTCAAAATAAGCACTTTTTGGTACAAGTGTAGCATACCAGGTTTCTGGACCGCTATTCCACCAATCATCAACTTAATATCCTGCTTTAGTATCCCTTTAAGCGTTTAGATGTGGCATCATGACATTTGTAAGGCAGGCAGCAATGTTTTCTGACAAACGTTGAACTTGTTTGTTTTGAAACTTGAATGCGAGTGCACCATCCAGCCTCCACTAGCACTTTCCCTTGCAATGTGATGTTACGATTGGCTGTTACAATGCCATAATGATGGCCCTGCTTTGCCATTGCTTGTGAAACACTGGAAGGTGAAGAGCTTTTGGAATGGCATGCTTATGTAGGCCTGGACTGTTTTATAGCAAATGACGTAGCAGTGGATGTGCCCCTTGAATTCATGTCTAAAAATTTTTTGTCAGAATCATAGTTGACGTCGTTCAACAATGTTTAAGCTTGGAGGCAGCAATTTTGAATTGAAATTTTAGTTGAAATGCATACTGAGAAATTCTGTATTGCCGTATTGGCTCATCTGCTCTGTTAGAGTGGTAAATTAAGGATAGTTGGACGACCACAACATGCATTTCTAAAGGGTCCAGTGTCGCTTAGGAAAACTGAGTCTGGTCGATGTATCATTTTATCTGTCTCAGGCCATGTTAGCAACAAAAAGAATTCCTGGTACAAGGAGCACAAAAGTAACTAACAGTTCACGACCTTCAGCAAATCGCTTATTGTTGGCAAATGTATCATTAGTTATGTTGCCAATCAAAAGTCTGTTACCTGGAGCATGAGGGTAACCACGCTATTTTTTGTTGCAAGCTTCAGCAAAATGGTTTGTTACAGTTGCGACTTAGCATGTGACATCAGTGGTATCCGGCCCACTTTTGCTTTTTCTTTTGTCACTAAAACATCATTGTTATGGACAGCCGTGTGCATTTTAGCTACTGTAACAGAGAAAAAGCATTACTGCTGTGGTTTAATAAGTAACTGTATGATTGCAAATTAGTCTAATGAAAGTGTAACACATTGCAGTTACACAGAAAAGTAATGAGTGGCAGTTATTCATTACTAGTAACTAGTTACCATATTAAATTATTGCTATGATAACGCGTTCTTGCAGCTGTACTGTCTGACTTTGGACAAGTCCCTGCCATAGGATGAACGCGGACTTGCAGCAGCAGCCTGCCGAAGGGGCGGTGGCAGGACCCCCCTCGTCAACGGCGCCGCCGGCCGCATCGGTCGGCTTCAGCTATGACGAGGTGTTCCCCGCGCTACCAGAGAAGGAGGCGCCCGTGGAGGCAGGCAGCGCAACCGGGAGCGTTGGGGGTGGCGGCGGAGGTGGCGCCCTGGGCCAGTGGAACCACAAGATGCACGTCAAGTCTTCCGTCATCACCCAGATCTTCCATGTGCCGAGCGAGGAGCGCCGTTTTCGGGAGACTAGCTCGCAGCGGTTTGGAGAGCTGGGGGAACAGGCCAAGATCTGTGCGGACATCATGCGCGACACCCAGACCACCATCGAAGTGAGCTCCTCCCGCGACCACTCGCTCACCGTGCTGGTGACGGGACGGGAGCGCAACGTGGCCCTTGCGCGAGCACATGTGCTCCGCGCCCTCCAGACGCAAGCCCAGGGCACCATCCAGATTCCCAAGGAACATCACCGCTTCATCCTTGGCAAAAACGGCAAGAAGTTGGCTGAATTGGAACAGAACACCGCCACCAAGATCACCGTACCGAGGACGGATGACAACTCCGACGTCATCACGATCAGTGGCACCAAGGAAGCCATCGACCGGGCACGCGATCACATACAGAAGATCTCTGAGGAAAAGGTACACCACATACCATGATTTTGTTAGCACTCATAGCAACAGACATGAAATGGAAATCGAGGCATAAAGCAGATAAATGCGAGTTACAAGCATTGAAAATGGATGATCAATCGGCACAGTAAAATGTTTCATCAACCGACATCAGTTAAGACAAAAATTAACTGCAATGCTTTGTACTCTCATTTTAGTTAAGCTCGTATCTAACATGTAGCTTTGTTACATTCAGTTTTCATCTTGAGGACACATAATATTGAAACATAAATTCTTCAAGTGACTGCTCTTGTATGCAGAACTTTATAATATAGATGACCATCAGATAGTGAGCACTGAGACTTTAGTCAGTAGCTAGTTAGCACTTAGGAAACACTTAATCATAAAAATGAATAGCAAAAAGCTATTTACCATGATAATATGATCATGATTGCATTTAGAAGTTTCTGTGCAACATAGGTCTTGTCATGACCTAAACATTGCATGGACTTGCATTCAACTTTTTGCAAAGTAGATTCTTGGCATTAAATGTTGGGATGTTTGGCAACGTCAGGCGTACAGCATACTTCCAGTGTTCATGCAATTTCTTGTTCTTCTTTTTGAAATATTGCAGTCAAAACACGGTGTGGAGGAGCTGAAGATCCCCCGCATGTACCACCCATTCATTGCTGGTCCATACAACAACAGCGTGAAAGCTCTGGAGCAGGAAACTGGCACTCGCATCCGTCTCGATCGGGAGGAGGACAAGGTGACCATCACGGGTGACAAGGAGAATGTGGCCAAGGCCAAGGATGCGCTCATGGCCACCTACGAGGACCGAAAGCTGCACTGCCAGAGTGTTGGTGTTGAGGTACGCTCTTCTTTCACACATTTCGGTGCTCTGGTTGGTATGCATAATGATGCTTAATTAACAATCCGTATGGGAATGCTTCGGTGGGGACTTTTTCTTTTACTTCTCTTGCTCTGTGGGATAGTGCTAAATAAGGACTGGCTATAGGGGATGTAATCACCCCCTATCACGTCGTTTGCACTTCACAGCACACTATCTCACGCATAAGCCACAGTTAGATGTAATAGCTGCTGAGCGAGAGGTGGCACTGTGCTCACGCACAGCGCCACCCTGCTTAGGGTGCTGCCACCTTTTGTACTGCTCCCTTCATTATCGTAGTGCCTGCAGTCTTCACCAAGCAATAGAGCTCACGTGCTGTCTTTCTTCAGCATATTTTGTCTGGATGTTGAGTTCCTTAGGGCCACAACCATTCCAATTAAGGGGGGACGCGGCCTTTGAAAATGGAAAAATCGCAAAAAGTCAATTTTTGGGAAACCACATATTCAGGCAGTATGTGTCATAAACTACCTTTTCTGTAAATATGAACGTCCAACTCATCACGAAACTGTTTGAAATAAAGTTTACAACACGCCGCCGCAGCCCTCAAGTGACACGGGAGTGCTCAAAATAGTCCGACTTTGTGCGATCGCAGTTTCTCGACCGTTTGACGGAGCTCCGCCATTTTGGTGTTGTTTTGTTTGTGAATTCTTGCACCTTCTTTTCCTGCCCCCCACGGCGACGACAGCAGCACAAGAGAGGAGCAAGCTGCTCATGAGTAGAGGGCTCGCGAGAGCTCCGAAGCTTCCCACGGCAGAGTTGTGCTGCCGGGATGGGGCGATGCGCGCGTTCCTCTAGGACGAGAGGGACTCAGCGACTGTGATTGGCTGCTGCGCGCGATGACGTAGTACTTTTGCACATAATGCGGCTCTCCGTCGTCTGCCGCTCCGTCCCAGGAGTGTTCCACTTGCTATCGTCTATCATTGCAACCGTTCTTGTACCCTCTGCGTTTCAACTGTTCTTACGAAACGATTTTCGAAAATCTTTACCAGACGATTTTGAACTGTCTTCACAAGACTTGTTTTATTCGCTCACAATGCTTCCAATGAAAAGAAAGACGCAACAAGTGTTTGATGGAAGGAAGTGATCTATGAAGGTTGCTTGCATGGCAAGGCTCTCCGCTCGCACGTGCGCTGATGATCACGCCGGCAGTACATGTGGAGCAGCTTCTTCATCTACGCAAGAGTGTGGTTGCATCAGCGCGCCTAGACACGGGACTCCTGCTCCACCGGTGCAAAAGTTCGATGTTGCAAGTGCGCCTGGTGTCTTGCGTTCACCGACAGGGGCTTCCACATCCTCTCTTTCATCAGCCTCCACGAGTGCAATCGCATTGTCAGCTGTGCACTCGCGTTTTCTGGTGTACGAAGAGAAAGAGGCGGCGGATCAACAACGCGCTGCTGTTCAAAGAGAACTCGGCACTATGCCAGTGACTGAGCGGAAATTCCAGGCAATAAAGCGCGCCCTGGTTATTCAACGGGCAGTCAAAAAAGATTCACTGCACTTAAAAAAAGGCTAAGAAGAAATCCTTTGAGACGACGGAAAGGCGACGAAGAAGAGAGTGCTGCAGGGTTGTTTTAGATTTGCATCTATCCTGAATATCTCATTGAGATATCTCAATAACAAGAAAGTTGGTATTTGATAAGCTCCCCCTTTAAGCTAGTGGGTTACTACGTGCCAGAGCGAAACCTGTATGCAGTGGGTGTTATGATGGTGGCTGCCGCAGATGTCTTCACTCTGAGCGGAGAAGCTGGCATCGAGGCACTCCAGCAGCTGAGTTAGTGTGGTGGCACTAGCAGTGCCACCTGGCGGGAAGCGTTAGGCAGGCGCACAGGAGACAGTTTGACAGGGAGCATGGACGGACAACTCCTGTGGTGTGTGTTTATGCGGAATCATACTGTGAGTTGTTACCTGTAGGCTTCTCGTGGGAACATTGGTGACACCGCATTCACAGTACCTTGTATATGCATTCCGTTCTTTGTGTGTCGTATTGACACATTGTAGAAGGCTATCTAGCGTGCCACTGGTGATGCAATAGATTTCGCTGGCAAGCTTGTAGTGATATAAAAGCAGGTTAATGCATGTGTTTTGTTGTTTGATGGCATGGCTGTGTTCGTTCGTTCCATGAGCATGGGTCAACTCTGATCCCACATCGTGAAGTTTCAAATTCTGTTTCCAGCTGCGTCAGCTGCATTCCAATGGGGAGGAATGCGATAAAATGCAATAACTGTGAGTGCTTTAAACTGTATGGGATATTTCAGCTGGAGCATTTGCTGTACAGGAGCTGCTGCTGGGGCTGACGAGAGGACTTGTCATTCTTGTCAGAACCCTTCATCAGCACTCCGGTTACACCTTGTCACAAACTATGCTCCAGGACAAAACACAAGGAATGAAGAGACAGGCAAATGTTGTCTGTCGCTTCTTTCCTTGCGTCCTGTCCTGCTAAATGATCCCTTACAGATTCGCCCAACACTCAAGGCTAGTTACCTACAAGTCCAGTTACATTTCGTGTAACCACTGCGCATCACTTCCAAGCCGAATTTTCTTTTCACCTCGAGCTTGCTTGATAAGGGTTTTATGCATATTGAAACATGTAACAGCACGAGCTCTTTTTCTTGTGCCGTGCAGGTCAAAAAGTCGCAGCACAAGTACGTCCACGGCTACAGGGGCCAGACTCTGCAGGAGCTTTTTGAGCAGACGGGTGTGTGGGTGGAGGTGCCGCCCATGGAGAGCGATGTGGAGACCATCACCCTGCGGGGCAACCCCCAGGACCTGGGTCACGCCCTCTCGCTCGTCTACGAGAAGGCCAACAGCGTGCTGACGGCCGAGGTGCCTGCCAAGAGCTGGATGCACAAGTACATAATTGGCAAGAAGGGTGAGAACATCAAGCGCATCACGGCCGACTACCACAAGACTCACGTGGACTTCTGCGAGGATGAGAACATGATACGCATCGAGGGCCCCAAGGAGGAGCTTGAGGCTGTCAAGACGGCACTGGAGGAGAAGGTGCGAGAGATCCAGTCCACCATGGACTCTGTCGAGATAAAGGTTGATCCGCAGTACCACAGGCACATCATTGGAAAGGCTGGCTCGAATGGTGAGCTCTCGAGCATTGAAGCATTCAGCATCTTTTCCGTAAGCAAATCTGCTTGTATGGCAAGCCCCTTTCTATTGGCTTGTCTTGTACTGGGTTTGTGAGAACGTGATATGTGGTGCATGGTAGCCTCAATACTTGCCGTAGTCAGGATCACCACGTGTTCGGGCTTTGCGAGTCGTGGGGCCACGTCCACCGTCCCTGATCACATATAGCTCCGTGCACGCTCAGCTAACGAAGGCGCCGAATGCTACGTGGCAAAACACAAGTGAAATCAACAACACAGCGAATAGTGCTTTATTTGCCTTTTGTGGTGAGTGTGTGGTAACAGCAAACATTGAACCTAAGTGGTGACCGACAGGCGAGATGCGGATACCCAGTTTGGTATGTCTTGGTAAATAAGTCTTACCCCTATACTCGCAAGAGTGGCATCCAGAACAGCACAACATCCGCTGCCGACACGCGTGGAGCAAAGGGCACCCACGCATGAAGTGAACACCAAAAGGGGGAATCGTGATCATGTCGCAACTGGCAATGGCAAGCTTTGACATGCCGCTTGGGAGAATGTCTTAGTGGCTATGCTGTGCACTCTCGCGATGATCGCCAGGCTTGGTTGTGATAGAGAGGGCAAATCGCCGTTCGTGAGGGCCTCCACCAAATGTGGCTCAGTGTAGTACGACCACGCAGGAGCACTAGGCACGGCTATTTGGCTTATCGTGGGGAACGGGAGCTAGCACAAGAATCTACATGCCCACCGAGGATTGCCGAAGCACCCAGGCAGGCTGCAGTGGGAGATTCCCCAAGGGGACATTGGACGAGAAGCAAATGCGCTTGATTTCAAGCCTGTTCTCAGCATGCTTGAATATTTCTTTGATTTATACACACATTCCCATATTGCTGGAAAGGATCACAGCCTGAGTGATGAGTTGTTCAACATACTGGATTTTGGGAGCCATACCAAGATAAGTTTGCTCAGAGTGGATATAACTGATGACAAATCACCCAAATGTTGCGAGCCTTACATATAAATATTCTTATTGACTGGGAAAGTAATTTGATTTTTAATCACACTCTGATTATGAATTACTGAAAAATTCATGAAGCAGCTTTCATGATTGAACGGCAGTGCACCCACCTGCAGACAATGTGAAGGACGACAAAAACGCTGTGCAAGCCTGGACACTCGGCCCTGCACCAGATGCATGGTTTTGTGGTCCTTCTATTTTTTGATTGTGTGGGTGCGCTGTTCCAATCATGAAAATAATACAACTGGCCTGGGTTGGTCATATTACCACTATTCTCTTTCTTGCAATGAAATATTGGATGGCTTGGAATAACGCTGTGTATATATGAACACATTAACAAGCAGTGCATCGTAATTCTCACTTGAAGGAGATGAGCCTCTTATGATGTCATGTTTCTTATTTGATTTGTGCAGTGAACAGGTTGAAGCAAGATCTCGGCGTGACTGTGCATGTGCCGGCAGATGAGGAGAGGTCACCAGTTGTGAGGTTGGAGGGCCCACCCGAAGGGGTGGCCCAGGCGAAGACTGAGCTGCTCGAGATGGCTCACAAGCTTCAAAACGAGGTGACGCGTGAACTGTGCGTGGAGCAGCGCTTCCATCGGACGCTCATCGGAGCCAAGGGAGAGGCGATCCAGGATGTTCGCAGGCGTTTCAACCAGGTAGAGTGGCCACTTTAGGTGTGCAAAGAGGTATGGGGATACCCTTGAAAAAGTGGTCCAATGATCAAAATATAGTAGTGTTCAAGCAAAGCATAATAAGTTTTTGGGTGGGGGCTGTGTCGTAGGGGAAAAAAATCATGCGCTTGGAATGAATGAATCTGTGCAACCCTTGAAGATGTGCTGGTCACTTGGGTATTCGTATGCGCTGTTTTTCAATAATGCATACTTTTTTGATCATATGGGAATAATACAATATGGGACTTTTTCAATATGGGAATAATATATATCGTTTATTGGGGTCACTTGTCATTTCACGTTGCCAAATGTCGTTGTTGCCTGGATATGAGAGCGAGTTATTAGGCATGATGACATCTTCGTAGACATGCCCTTCAGCCACACCAACCACCAATCAGAGCTGTCTCACTTCCTCCAGGGATGAAAAAAGGCTCATATTGGAAAACAAGATAAAGGTAGTAGGTCATGCATGCATACACCAAGTTTTGTTTGCCCCCTATTTACCCGACAGGGGAAGGGCTCCTGAAATGTTTGCTTCAAGCAAGTTTGTTCAGATAAGCTGCTCAAGCTTGTAAGGTCTGCAAGATCCGTGAAATGAAAAGGGCATTGTGATCTAAAATAAGAGTAGTGGTGCTTTTCAATCTGCAACTTTCTGGGTTGGTACAGTGCAGTCCACTTATAACGATACCACATATAACGATATATCGGTTATAACGATGGGTCGACTTAACAGTCTCATTTTATGCATTGGGGCTATGGGGAAAAAAACCATATAAAACGATATGTTATCCACCGCATATCGGATACAACGATGAAAAAGTTTGCCGTGGACGGCATGTTTCATTCAGAATAATCGTAACATTTAGATTGATAAGTTCCTCTGAAACGAACTATGCCGAGACAAGACGAAAAGTTAGCGTAGGCGAGTACGTATCTACCGCCACAGCAGCACAGCGCCGGCAGCGCGTCCCGGCCGTTCAAAAAGCGGAGGAGAGCATCACGAGTTGGCGCGACGCGCTACAGATGGCGCCAGCTGTGTCACGTTTTGCGCCTCGCCGCGCGTCGACCGCGGAGAGGCTGAGAGAATTTAAAAAAAAAGAAAAATGCGAAAAGCAAAGCGCCGCGCTTCGTGGCTCCCCGCCTTCTACAACGGCAAGCTACTCGTAGCTTGCCGAACGAAAGCGGGAAAGAGAGAGAAAATAAAAAAAGCGAAAAGCAAAGCGGCGCGGCGGCATCGGGGCGGGGCTTCGTTGGCATTCGGGCTGTGTACCTCTGGCTGTGCTTTCTTCCTCCCACTGCTCCCACCCCGCCGTCGGTCAGTCTCTTCCTCAGCGAACCCGTGATGCGTTCTTCGGAGTAAGAAATAAAGTCTTGTTTTTGACATCCTACTATCTACAGTATTTATTTGTTGGTGAAAATAGCGAAATGAAGCCTGGAGCTACAAAAGGTACGTCCGGCGACGATTTTTTGGCGCCAGTCCAGATATAACGATCACCGGTTATAACGATCATATTTTTAGGTTTTCTCGATATCGTTATAAGTGGACTGCACTGTATATACGTCAAGGCAAAGGCGAATCGCCATTTATAAAGTATGCTTGTATCCCACAACCTATGTGGGCTTAGAATGCAAAATTGTCCGTTGACAGGTAAATAAGTATGCCAGGCTGAAACTTCAGTTGCAGCTTTGCTGAATGTTTCCAAGGCCACATCAGTCCCACATCTCGGCAAGTTAGGCAAACAAAAAAACAGTGCTTCTCTACAGGTGAACGTTACATTTCCGGAGCCTGGATCGCGCAACGACAAAGTCCTCATCCGGGGTCCAAAGGAGGACGTGGATGCATGCTACCGGCATATGAGCCAGATCTGCCAGGAGCTGCAGGCTTCCAGTCATCGTGTGGACCTGGTGCTCTTCAAGCAGTTCCTCAAGCATCTTCAGGTATGCCGGCGTAGGGCTTACTTGGGGCGAATAAACTCGGTAGCTGAATCTTGGTTGGACCGTTTCACAAGCAGGCACTGAGCACAGACAGCAGATTAGTGTGCGATAAATTGAGTTTGTAATGAAGGTTGTAATGGGATTACTCTAAAGCTATATTCAGTAGACTCTTTGTAAATGAAAACGTAGCTCCTATGGAACAGCTGCTTCTTATATGATTGGTTTCACGCCCCGCCGCGGTGGTCTAGTGGCTAAGGTACTCGGCTGCTGACCCGCAGGTCGTGGGATCAAATGCCGGATGCGGCGGCTGCATTTTCGATGGAGGCGGAAATGTTGTAGGCCCGTGGGCTCAGATTTGGGTGCACGTTAAAGAACCCCAGGTGGTCGAAATTTCCAGAGCCCTCCACTACGGCGTCTCTCATAATCATATGGTAGTTTTGGTACGTTAAACCCCACAAATCAATCAATATGATCGGTTTCACACTTGGAATTGTGCACCCCTGTTGCTCTTGCAGTATATGGAACACTGGAACTCCTTTTAAACGGAACATACAGCAATTTTTTGTGTATAACTCTCAACAAAAAACAAATAAAATGGGCTTGGATAGTGAGAGTGCAGGTTATGGGCATGGATTATACGCGTTTTTTTTTTTTTTTGGCTTTGTTTTTGGAGGGTTGGGGATGCAGTTATATGCAGGTGCGAGTTATATGAGAGAAGATATGGTATTTCATGTTCCTTGGTTTTGTTAAGAATCTATTGTAGATTAACTTATATGCGAATGCTACTTTACATGTCTGCGGCATTTCCTTCTCAAAAGAAGAGGCGCACATAAGCCTGCACCAGTGGAGATACAGTGCAAACTAACGCCATAATTCGTAAGAGAGGTGACCACACTTTCGGAGAACATTGCCAAGTGCATAAGTGGGACTGTTCAGTCGTGGAGGTGATCGGCTGTTTGTGCTTTGGTTGATCTGAGTGGGGCCTCTCCGGACTTTTGTTGTATTCATCCGTTGTCTAGTTTTTGTGCGTGCAAGTCACGAGTGTACTAATTAGTTGCATTATTTTTATAGCTACCCTTTATTCCTGGCATAAGGTGTGGTGTGAAGTAGTAAAGCGTACTCAAGTATTGAGAAAGCGCAGTTTACTTGCCCTAAATCGCCAATCCAAGGTGTTTTTTAACCGTTCATATCTTGATGTATCTGGAGTCTTCTTGCACTAAAGCTCTGTGAGCGAGGGGCAGAAATTTAGTTGACAAAGTAGCTGAAAGATGTTTAAGTAATGCTGACATTTATAGGTACCACAGCTTGCTGAGGGCTTACTGTACGCACAATGCAGTATACCGTGTTTACTCGCGTAATGAACCCATCGCATAATGAACCCACCTTGATCCTTGAAAAAAACGTTAAAAAAACGTTAAATGTATCTGTTCATTTTAGTTTGGTATGATAGCCAGTGCCATTAATATGCCATTAATGTGCCAATAATGATCGAAACAATATTAAATGAAGCCATTATATGACAAAATAATGCATTGAAAGCCAAAGATAGTTATGCAATCATGCTAAACAGTAGCGAGCAGTGCGAGTGCTGGACGACGTAAATTAAAATTTGAAAGTCTCGCCTGTATGACAAAGGGCCATCTGTCGAATTCAGGAGAAACTTCTTTGCTGATAGCGCCACGCAAACACAGCGACACAAAAAGCACGTGGCGTCCCAAATGGTGCTCGCGCTCTGTTATGGAACATGTCCGCGCGCTCGCCCTCTCGGACCTATGCAATGCGCAACCGCGCCGACGGTGCGTTGTGCACCCGCTAACATCTAATACAATGTTTGTGCGCCGCCATCCGACGCTGCGTTTTCGTTGTTGGGTTTGTCGTTGCTGAGCTTAGTTGGGACAACTGCTGACGCAGGGCGCGTTCGGCGGTAGGCTAGCTACATGGCTGGTTACTAACGGCATGCGCTGGAGCATTGGAACCGAGTGGCTGGACGGCACTTCGGCGTCGATTCATGCACTTTCATTATGGGACGAAACAAAAAGAGCTTCGGGCTACAAAAAAAATTTGTCGCCCATTTCACGGGTCAGAAATGAGCAATGTCGTCACCCGGAATTTTCGCTGTTATAGCTCCCGTGACTTTTTTCTCCCACGTAATGAACCCTCCCCCTAAATTGGCGTCAACTTTTCTGAAAAAGATGGGTTCATTACGCGAGTACCGTAAAAACCGGAATATAGGTCGAATTTTTTTTCAAAGAGACGCGATGAAAAGTCGACCCCCGTCTTATATACCGGTCATTGGCAGAAAACTTATGGAAGTCTTGCACCAATGGGTTGACAAAAGTCGGTAGGCTCCATTGCCATCGTGAGCATCAGCAACAGCATCGTTGGGCGGCCGCGACGCCCATTTTGCGTTTTGTTTGTCCCGATTGCGAAGCAAGGGTGGCTGCGGTGGTTTTGCGCGTTTCATTATCCCCATCTGAGGCTATCTCCTTCAATATGAGTGGCAGCCGACGTCAGTTCACGATGTGCTTCAAGAAAAAAGTCATCGAATATGCGGAAGCCCACGGCAACCTGGCGGCACAACGAGAATTCGGCCCGACGGAGAAGAGCATCCGATACTGGAGGAGCCAGAAACAGCGCATCATAAGTTGCAGCAACCAGAAGAAAACGTCGTTTCGTGGACGGACTGCAGTTCACCCCGAACTGGAAACGGCACTCGTCGAGTTCGTACGGGAGCTGCGCGCAAGGTCGCTACCCGTGACAACGGAGTGCATCCGCGTGAAAGCGCTCGAGATTGCGCGCGACTCGGGGCTCACGAGGGCGCAATTCAAGGGCTCGCCATCGTGGGTGCGCCGATTCATGAAGCGGAAGGGCCTTGTTCTGCGGCGGCGTACTTCAGTGTGCCAAAACTACCCGCAGAGTTCGAGCACAAGCTTGTGGAGTATCAGCGCTTCGTCATCGAGCTTCGTCGACAGCGTTGCTACATGATGGGCCACATGGGCAACGCTGACGAAACTCCGGTCTGGTTCGATATGCCATCGAACACGACTGTGACCGAGAAAGCAGCGAAGCAAGTGAAGCTATTGACAACGGGCAACGAGCATTCGCGGTTTACCGTGATGCTCGCGTGTACAGCAGACGGAAAGAAGCTGCCTCCTTATATTATTTTTAAAAGGAAAACGCTACCGAAGGAGGACTTCCCTCGGGATGTGATCGTGAGGGCAAGCGAGAAGGGGTTCATGAACGAATCCCTCATGCTTGAATGGATCCGGCTCGTGTGGAACCGGCGACCCGGTGCCCTTTTTCAACGACCGAGCATGCTGGTGCTCGACTCTTATCGCGGTCACCTCACGGCCGATGTGAAGCGATCGCTGTCCGATGGCAAGACGGATCTTGTTGTCATCCCCGGGGGACTGACATCTATACTCCAGCCACTGGACGTTGTGCTGAACAAGCCGTTTAAAGGTCGCGTGCGCGAGCTCTACAGTGAGTGGATGCTGGGAGACAATCCCAAGACCCCCGCTGGCCGCCTACGGCGTCCCACCGCTCGCAACCGTTTGTGGCTGGGTGTCGTCAGCCTGGAAATCCCTCCCGGAAGAGATGGTTCGCAAATCCTTCCGCAAATGCTGCATCAGCAACGCGTTAGACGGCACAGAGGACGATGCACTCTGGGACATCGCTAGTGAAAAACAAACATCATCCGACTCGAGTTCGGATGAGTCCGAGTAACTTCGTGACCTCCTAGCATTGAACAGTGTCTAAATAAAAATGAATGTTACCACAGTGCAGCTAGTTGCGTTGCGTTTTTATCAAGGTAAGGGTGTGCCGCGATACTTTGCGATTTTTTTAAATTTCTTTTTTTACGATTCGAAGTTTTGGGGGGTCGTCCTATATTGCGGTCCGACCTATAGTCCGGTTTTTACGGTAAGTACGGTAAATGGGATAAATTATTGACGCTGCTCAGAGTAGAGGTACATTCCTTACTAGGCCATGGCAGTCCAGAAGATTAAATTCTCTCCCTGTACCTATTTGCCGTTGTGTTAGGGCAAGGGCCGGTCTCTGGTCCGGCGCATCCAGCAGGAGACTGAGGCACGGATCGACCTGCCGCTCGAGTCCAGCAACTCGGACGTTGTCATGATCACCGGCAAGAAGGAGAACGTGGCCGCTGCCAAGGATAAGCTGCTGGAGGCCCAGCGCGAGCAGGCCGACGTCGTCGAGGTGCACCTGATGATCCCCTGCAACCTGCACAATGCCATTATCGGAGCCAAGGGGCGCCTCATTCACTCCATCATGGAGGACTGTGGTCGCGTCCAGATTACCTTCCCCCAGCAGGACTCCAAGAGCGACCGTGTCACCCTCAGCGGACCCAAGGAGGACGTCGACAAGGCTAAGAAGCAGCTGCTCAACCTGTCCAACGAAAAGGTGTGTGCTTTTGCAGCTAAAAGGGACACTGTGCTTGAAATAATGAAAAAAATATCGTGCCTGTATGACTGCGGTCTTGTTCAGATCACCTTCCCCAGCAAGACTCCAAGAGAGACCATGTGTGCATTGCAAATATGCATTGTGTGTGCAAATATGCATTGCGTGTGCATTGCAAATATGCAATTACAGTTTTTAGTGCCATGTGCAGTTTTTTGAATGTCGTACGTTTCGTGTGCCATTTTTTTTAGGGGGGGGGGGGGGCTACACCTTGCCTTGATTTGAGTGTTATAAAGTAATTAAAAATCGGCAACAAGAACTGTATGCAAGAAAACAGTGAGGGATGTTCGGAACTCATTTGAACACAAGTGTCAAGCTGGGATTTCAGTCATGGATGTTCAACATACCATAACATTTGTTGAAATGGATGGATAACACTCATTTTTGTTTTCTTGCATGCAGTTTTATGGTGACCCCGCTACTAACTGCAGCGGATGATCACTGTGGGTTCACGCTTAGCGAGCCACAGGGCTGCGACTCCGTCACTTACTCGCGTGTAGCGTACCGCTCCGCGCGCGCTCAACTAATAAGGCGTTTAGCGCGGCGCGGCAAACCGACAGTTTTCCAATATAAAACACACACTTTATTGCCATTGGCGGCACCTCGAACAACAGTACAATGTCCGCTCCTGGGGCGCGGAGAGCAAAGGCACCCGCACGCGGTCTTTCACAATGAGGGGAAACCGCGAGCACGTCGCAGCTGGCAATGGCGAGCTTTGACACGCTGGTCAAGAAAAGGTTCCTCGCGGCTATGCTGCGCACACTCACGATGGTCACTGGGCCTGGTCGCGAGTGTTAGGGCAAACCTCGTACGCGTAGGCCTACGGCAAGTGGGCTCGGTGTGGTACGACCACTTGAAGCACTAGGCACCGCTGTGGGCTTAGCGTACGCTACCGAAGCTAGCACTCTAGTAAACACGCCTGCCGAGGTGCCAAAGGCCACCCCAGACAGGCTACAGTCCTGCGATTCCCAAAGGGGACGTGGACGAAGGAAACACGTGCTTACCCGGCGCCGACCACGGAGGAGAGAGCCCTCCTTCCGCGCGCCCGCACGTGGCGTCATCTATCGCCACGCGCCGTTATCAGAGCAGAAAAAGCTAAAGGGTGTGGCCGTGCGGCGGAATGCCCGCGAAATGGTTGCGGGCACGCCTGAGATCGTTCTGACATGCTTATTTACATTAGAACCCATCTGGGCACTCTGTTGCTTCAAAAAAAAAAAAAAAGTGTAATGTTGTTTTTGAGAAACTACTCAACTACGAGATAAATAATTGTTTATTTAAAATCTGCATGCAAATAAACTTGCCATGTTCTACATCACTCTGTAAAGTAATAAACAAAATTTTTAAGACCCTGCAATGAGCAAATTTTTATGCATTGTTTTGGACGGTTGATGGTACAGTTGAGGCTTGGGTTACTTGCACAAACTGTATCTTTTGTATTTTGTTTCAGCAATTGTCCAGTTACACAGAGGAAGTCCGTGCGCAGCCTAAACACCATCGTTTCTTGATTGGCAAAAATGGCTCCAACATTCGTAAGGTATGTTCGTTCTTTGGTGTCTGCAGTCGTGCGATTTTATTTTGGGATGACAAAAATAGTGTGCCTGCATTGTTTACTATACTACAAAAGTACAAGTGTTGAGCAAATGCCTGAGCTTGTTTAAAGGGGTAACGGCACTAATTTTCTTTCATGCAGATCTGTACACAAAGATGGTTGCGGCCACTTTGAAAGCCGAGTAAATGCTTATATAGTAGACCCTCATTAAGGGGGCAGTCTGGTCTTGGACATCATTTTGTTTATTTCTTCAGTGATCTTGATAAAACTGCACAGGAATATGCCGTAAGAGCATAACACTCCCCAGAAAATGATATACTTAACACACTACAGTAGGTTTTTTATAGACTAATTTAGTTCGTTATAATTTACCGGTCAATTTTACTTCGTTACAATGAGGTTCAAAATGCATGGTTCTCAATGGAGCTTTCAAGGGGAATTTCATTTACTTCGTTAAATCTATTATTTCGTTACATCTCGTTATGTTATAACGAAATCTGAGTCTATTGAATATGTCGGTAGCCCTTCAATGTTTGTTGGCTTACTGTGATATTGTTAAATATTGGCGCAGGTGAGGGAGAAGACGGGTGCAAGGATCATCTTCCCAACAGATCGCGACGAGAACCAGGACACCATAGTCATCATTGGCAAGAAGGAGGCTGTGCTGGATGCCAAGAAGCAGCTGGAAGAAATGATAGAAAGCCTGGTCAGTCGGCGGCGTGGCTTCTGTGAAGTTGCTTTTGTCCCGTTTGTCATGTGTGTGAGAAAGTGTTATGCTGAAAGCTTGTATTCTAGATTGACAGCTCAATTGCGCGACGTTGCAACCAGTGCAGTGCATCATTGGTCGTGTTGAGAAGTTGCTGACCACCTGTGGCACATGTAGTGCGTATGCAAATTGTGAAATTCTTGATGCACTATTGCTTGACTGGTTTATAAACGCTGAAATGGATGGACTTCAGAAACACGGGCCTCGACTCGATGCTCGACTGGTTTATAAACGCTGAAATGGATGTACTTCAGAAACACAGGCCTCTTGTGAGACACTGAAAAATTCGACACTGAATAGCTTGTCTGTGACAACAGTTCATAGTCGCGTAAAGTAGCCTAGCAAAACACGAAAACAAGAAAGTGAACACCATGAGTGCTTACTCGCAACTGAAAGCTTCATTGCTTGAACAGAAAATACCGCATTACATGGAGATTTTGCAATATCTCAAATAACGCATATGGTCCAAACGCGTGCAGTATATACAGTGAAAGTTGGATTTGCAGCGTGTGGCAGAGCGGTGATAAACTGCGTTGCTGCGTTTTCTACTGTGACATGTTAGATGTTGGGGCTGTCGGCTGCAGCTTCGGCGATCAGCAACCACATGCTTAGACAACTCGCCCCTGCCTAATCTATTCGTGGAGGCCGGGGCCGATTTCCGCAACAGGTGACAGCAAGTGCGACGCAGCAATGTAGTTTTTATCCGGTGGCTAATTTTTCGTCGCTTTGTAGTGCGCAGCAGATCCCGCAAACTTTCGCCGCCGACAGTTCTTGTTCATTAAGGGGAGAGGCTACACTTGATGGGCAATTTTTTTATGTGTAGATCTGAATGAAATTTTCACAGTTTGTATATTTAAATGTTCAAATTCTAAAAACTTAATTACTTTTTCGATAGGTCAAGCAGTTACCAAGATACTCCAATCAATGTATAACCTGGGTTTTTTGTTTGGAGCTTAACTAGCATCTAAGCAGGAAGCACCAAAACATTGGGGACAGTGTAGAAAGAACATAGAATGTTTAAGGAGTGCATAGGCTATTAATCAATTTGCTGGGCCAGTTTCAACAAGATGTAGAGGACATCAACATTCACAGAAAAAAAAAGCCACCTTCACTTGTCAAGCAAGTGACCCAATTAAAAGAAAATTTGATGTGTATATTGCCTTCAAAATAGCTATATTGCATACTGCATGCATTTAAAAAAGAATTATGCTGATAGCTCTAATAGAACAGAAGTTATTTTCCCTTCAACTTGGACAATGAGCCAAAATTGCTGTTTTGAGAAAATGAAGAAAAACATTTCAAAACACCTTTATTGAAAAAAATACTAATAAAATCTTATGAAAATGCATCATGGGCATAATTTGGATGCATCCCATTTTTATCTTCTTGTTGACCAGCTTTCTCAGACTTTGGGACGCTTATCTCTATTTATTTGAGGTTGCACTTCGACGACAATCCTTCTCCCTAGCCCTCAAGGATGGGCTGCTGAATATCGTGATTTCCAGCTGCTCTAGAATCTCGGAAAATGCATTGACATTGCTCGTGTTGAAGCACGGTACAGCTTCTGCAACAGCAGCTTGCATAGCAAAAAGAGAAACGTGCTGCTCCTTTGATACCATACTCCAAATCATGGATTGGAGGCTTTCATGTGAATTCAGTCTTGCCTTGCTGGCATTTTGCCTCGCTGTTGCCGACAACTACGACTCGAAGCGCCGTGGTTGTCTCGCGGGTGTGCGCGTCGCGAATTTCACTGGCACGGATCACATCAGCATCTACCAATACACAGTTGGAGGCGACATTGTGCGCGCTGTCAGGGAGGCCCGTGTCTACGCACACTTCACCGTTGGCGATAGCATCGGCGCGGTCATAATCCACGGTGTCCGCTATCCGGGAAGCAGTCTCCCACAATATCTTCAGTACACGGGCGGCCAGCATCCACGCCGCATACGCATGAAGAACCGTCTTCAGTTGCGACGGTGTTATCAAAAAACGTCTGCACTTGCTCCCGCGACACAGTCGCAGCACCATTGGGCTTTCTGCTGCTGCCTTTCTTCCGTGAATGGCCAATGTGATGTTGCGATCTGAACTTTTTCGCACCGCCGGTCGTAAAGAGAAGCACAAGCACGTTAAGGATATGAGTCGCGACACCTTCGCAAGGGCGATACTCTTTCAAAATGGCGGCAGGCACTGCCAGCAAGTTTTCCTATCCAATTGGGAAGCGCCATTTTGGTCACGTGTGTTATGAGAATTGAGGCTAGCCTGTAGCCTTTGCACGAGTTCTGCTGCCTATTTCTGCCATTCTCATGTCACGACATGACTCCCCTCCTTCGCTGTCTGCCGCGCTGGGGGAAGAGAGAAGTGACATTTAACCCCTCTCACCCGGTAGCGAATGTAGACTGTGGCGCCGTGCGCAAAGTCTCTCGGGATGTCTTGCGGTCGTGCGTCGGGGAGCGAGTCAGATTTCTTCGGGACAGCTGACGGTGAGCACGCATTCTCTTTTCCGTCCGTCCACTTCCATTGTTTGGGGCTCGTTGGACTTGCAACGGTGAAAGCTCACCTTTTGTTGCCCCTTGCGAACGCTAGGCCGAAGAGCGGTGAGGTGTTCTAGTGTGTGGTCAAACTGCACCGATCGTATCTCTCTGAAGCCAATGCGAGCGCCTTTGCCCTCGCTTGAGGAACCGGGCCTTTGTCTCAATGTCTCCGTGGATCACTTTTACCACGGAGACGTGCTCGCCGCACCCCTGTGTAGTACTTCTCGCCCGTGGCATGGATAAGCTCATTTGCTTTCCCGTCGCCTCATTGCAACGGGCTCTGTGCTGTGTCATGGTGTTGCCACAGACAAGAAAGTGCCACGTCCCCTCCCTGCTGTTGCCGCAGACTTCCAAGTGTCGCATACCCCCTTAATAGAAATATCACATACCTTGACGAGCTAGATCCGACCATGCTGGGTCTAGTCAAAATTGGTGGCCGAGTGGTTTTATTGGAAATCATTGTCGCAGCCTCTGTTAAAGCCTTCCCAAAACGCATCGTCCTCGGTTCCCTTGAGCGCGTTCAAGTGCCCCATTTTTTTTAAAGCTTTTTTCAACAATGCTGGGGGAACCACGTCCCGCGACACGGCGGTACAGTAAGTCCTAAGCTTTTGCACATAATTGAAAAGGCCTTCAATGTCAGGAAACTTATATTAGCAAGAGTGTACTCTTCTGCTTTCTTCCATACTGAGAGTCGCCCGTTGAAGAACTTCACGCTGAAGTGCATGGCGGTGACATGGTTTCCGTTTTTTGTGAGCTTGAATTGCACTGTATATTTAATTATTGTAGCCCGTCGCATGGGAACAGAAAAAACGCGATGGACAGATGGGAGAACCCAAACTTCCGAAATCAACCAAGCGTGCATTGCAGCGCGGACAGGGGCAAGCGAAGAAAGTGAAGGAAACAGTTGGTGCGCCAGGCCCTTGCACACCTTTGATGCAGAAAATAGTCCGTGCCATGTCGCGAGCGCGCATTTTCACGGTGAAAGACGCGGGGAGATAGAGCATGACCAACACTCCAGCAGTTCGGACAACCTTTCATCAGGTTGTGTGTTCTGGTACAGAATTCTAGGGACTGCAGTTCGGGGGAAGTTGTCAGGATAAGAGACATCGCACTCGCAGCCCGTATTATGTACGACTACGCACTCCTGCTCGGTGGGAGGCATGCCCGTTCAAAGCATCCGAGTAAATATGCGAGTAAATATGTAAAAGATGCGAGTAAATATTATTTTTTTATTATGGCTGGCTAAATATTAGGGGTGTACAAATTGCACGAATAAATATGGTGTATATCTAAATTTGACGCTCGACAAATTCCTGTGCATGCACGCCAGATTATAGCGGATAGAATATGGGAACATCCTCAGTCATGAGGGGAAGGCTCAACGGACAATGAGTGCTTTATGAAGAGACTTCTCAAATGACATGTGGCTACCGCCCTTCTACTGTATTAGCTTTGTTTAGGCAGTCTTGCTTATACCAAATGGAACTGTTTTCTCGAAACAGGAGAAAGTTGTGGAGGAAGAGATGCGCATCGACCCCAAGTACCACCGCCACTTCGTGGCGCGGCGTGGCGAGGAGCTGCAGCACATTGCCAACGAGTTTGGCGGGGTGCAGGTGAGCTTCCCGCGCAGCGGCGACCACAGTGACGTGGTCACTCTCAAGGGGGCCAAGGAGTGCGTCGAGGGGGCCCGCAAGCGCATCCTCGAGATAGTTCAGGACCTGGAGGCCCGTGTCACCATTGAGTGCGTCATACCGCAGCAGCACCACCGCACCATCATGGGCGCCAAAGGCCACAAGGTCAGTACCCATCTGGTCTGATCATAACTGCGAGAGCCACAGGGTTTCATATTGGTTGGAACTTGCTCCTTCAAGAGCTTGAAATTCAGATTTAACTGGGTTGAACTGGATTTTTCATGTGGGTGCCTAGGGAAGTCCTCAGAAATCGCAGGACATAGAAAACTGAAATTCATTGTGGTCATTCCTTAATAGATATCTCAGGGGGCTACAAAGCAGTTTTTTTTAGTTTTCCCTCCAAAAAATGTTCACACAACTTTGAATTTGATGTACTTAGTAGTTACCAAATTCATCAAAACCTGATTGTTTATTATAAATTAACAATACAAAGTTCGAAAAAAAAAAGGAGCCTGTTGCCGTTGTGGTGTACACGTATCCCGAAGGAGTACGGCCACCAGCGTGGGTCCGGTCTTAGCGAGCCGCAGGGCACGCGTTAACCGTCGCCGTGGCGGGAAACACGATACTGCTCAAGTCGCAACACTTTATTGTGGCAACACCAAACGCAGTACAGCCCGTTGCAAAAAGGGCGCGGCGGGAAAGCAAGTAGGCTTATCCACGCCACGGGCACAAAGTACTACACAGGGTGCCACGAGCACGTCTCCGCGGTAAAGGTAATCCACGGAGACACCGGGACAAAGGGGCCCGGTTGCTCGAGCGAGGGCAAAGGCGCTCGCGTTGGCTTCGAAGGGAGACGGGTCGGCGTAGCTAGGCCACGCACTAGGACACCGTACTGCCCTTCGGCCGTGAGTACGCAGCGGGGCAACAAAAGGTGAGCGTTCGCATCGGGCGCGAGGCGCCGTCAGCGAAGTCCGACGAGCCCCGAGCGACGGGACTCGACGGACGGAAAAGAATGCGTGGCTCACCGTTTGAAGTCCCGGACTGTACTCCCCGCTCCCGACGCAGAGGTTTCTCGGGGGTCCCCCGCGCGCGGCGCCACAGTCAACATCCGCTACCGGGTGAGGGAGTTAAACGTCACTCCGCCCTTCCCAGCGCGGCTGACGGCAAAGGAGGGCAGACATGTCGGGACATGAGAATGGCAGAAAAGGCGGGAAAGCCCGCGCAAAGGCAGCGGGCCAGCCTCAATTCCCACATCCCCCCCTCCTAAATTTGCCCTTTACCGGTCTGCAAAAGGCAGCCGGACGTCACCCATGCAGTTAAAATGACACTGCTATGAGCTACAGCTAACCTCAGTCCAGCCCTGTTACTGCTGCTAAAGAAAGATCACAAATGAGAAACAAAACACAAATAACAAAGTAAACACATGACACTATACAAATAACTGCGGAAGGGAGGACAGAAACGTGGCACTGGTGTTCGTGGTGCTTAAGGGGGATAGCGTCCACTGCGCGGAGGGGCGGAAAAGGGCGTGACAGTGTCCGCTGGGTGCGATGCCCGAGTGCGAGGTCAGAGATACGGGAGGGGGCTCACTGATGGCTTGTTGCTGCTCTTGATAAGCCGCGAGTCCGACGAAAGCCGCTTCGGTTGTTCAGAGGCCCCGCATTTCTGGCTCGATGATGGAGCTGGACGTTGCGGGAAGCCGGGCCTCTCCGGTGTCAGGGAGGCCGAACCAAAATTGGCTGCAAGGCGCCCTGGCGTTGGCCGGCAGCATATAGCTGCTTTCAGCTGGCCTCGCGCAGGAGCCATGGTGGGAAAGGCAGCACGGCTTCTTCGGCGACGGCCGAGAGCGGAGCACAGCCAGACGGTCTGACGTCGGTGGGTCAATGACCCCCCAGTACCTCCAGCGTCCGCATCGATGGGGGGAAGCCATGACGCACTCTTCGCGGGCTCGCATCGAAGCGTCACGCACCCACACACGCACAGAAGCACACACACACACCGCCGACAGCTGCGCGAGCGTAGGCGCAAAGAGTCCTTCGTCTCTCTCTCCCCCGGCAAGCACCGACACACAAGGTCACACACAGCTCCCTTCGCGATAGACGAAACGAACACGGAAAAAAAAGTAAAAACAGAGCAAAACGACACTCAACATCTGACAAAAAACATAAAATACAAATATCACTTAATATTAGACAAAAGAAACAAAATACACATGAACACTTCAAAAAAAAAAAAATACACTGGCAGCAGACAGGGCGGGGTCAACTTCTTTACGAGAAAAGGCCGTAAAGAAGCTAACCTATACTGAGGCTAGACAGTAAACTGAGGGCCTTCGGTTGCGGAGAAGTCCGCCGTCCGGCGCGAAATCACAAAGGTGACCGCTTCCTCAGCTTATACCGGTGCGGGGTCCGAATGCGGTCCGCCGCTCCGGGTGTGCCCGTTGCTTGCGCGAAGTGCCGCAGGGCACTGGCGCAAGCTCGTCAGACCATGACAAAGGGCTTCAGGTCTGCGATGTGGGCACGGCTGAGTTTTCCCAAAGGGGATCTTTCAGCTAGTACGCGCCACGGACGCTCACTGACAATCGGTTCATAAGACCGGGCGGCTTTCCAACCCTTGGCTCAACCGTTTGTCAGACGTGGCAGGCACGGAATAGCGATAAAAGCCACGCTTCGTGCCGGGCCAGGTCACAACATTGCTCAGTTTGCAAAAACTTTCGAGCCACTCAGGTGACCGGCCATGGGTTCGTCGTGAGAGGATCGCAACAGTGCGGCTCTCAGACTTTTGGGCATAACCACCTTAAACGGGTCTATGGACTCGTCGTCAGTGGCTATATATTTCAGCAGGAGCCCGTCATGGTCCAGCAAAATGAATCCGCCGGGGACTCTGCGACACACGCTGTTTCAGCCCCCTAATCGCGCCCGCCGCAGAACAAGCAGCGTAACGGCGCTCCGCGCCTCGTCAAGACGGTTTAACGGCGCCCGCCGCAAAGCAAGCAGCGTATACGGCGCTCCGTCCCTCCGAGACTCGAAACGGATCACTCTGCTGAGCCTTCAGTAGCTCTTCGCTGCCGAAAGCAATTCCCATTCTCCCAAATGGGGGAGTCTGGTATCGCGCCCACTCAGGACCGCAGCAACTGCCGCGTGAGTCGGCGTTACGGGTTCGCTCTCGGCCTCGTGGCCTTCGGAAAGCTCCCCCGCTCGGCCGCTTCGCGGTGCGCCGCTTACCTGGTTAGCAGCCAAGGTTTGTCCGCATGGGGACTCGCCCTTCTCGCCGAATGGCGGCGAAGCTGCTGTTTCGCCCCCGACGCTTGCATGTGCTAAGGCACCGCGAGCGGCCGTCGCACCGAAATCCAGGTTCTCGGCAGACAACAGGGGGCACGGGATAGCGCGTCAGCTACCACGTAGCGGTGTATTCACCACAAAAAGGGGTGACGACACAGGCGAGCGCCGAAGCGCGCCCGTCGATAGAGGCGGTGGCCTCTTGGTGCAACGCGGCATGCCACGAAGCAGACATAACGTTCGGGTAGGGCAAGAGGCCCATTCCGAAGCGACGCGCCATCTCCAAAGGGAGCGGCTAGGCGCCTCGTGTCGTCACCGCAATAGGGGGTGCCGACACGGACAGGTGCAGAAGGGTTCCCGTCCATAGAGGCAATGGCCTCCGTGTGCAACGCGGCATCCGCTAAAAGGGACAGCGGACAAAAGTCCCGCGAAGCAGCCATGTTGCGACGAGCCCGAATCACGCAGGCGAACTGACTCGCTAAGAGCAATCAAAAGCTAGAGCTTTTGATACCGCGTTGGGCGCCAGTGTGGTGTACACGTATCCCGAAGGAGTACGGCCACCAGCGTGGGTCCGGTCTTAGCGAGCCGCAGGGCACGCGTTAACCGTCGCCGTGGCGGGAAACACGATACTGCTCAAGTCGCAACACTTTATTGTGGCAACACCAAACGCAGTACAGCCCGTTGCAAAAAGGGCGCGGCGGGAAAGCAAGTAGGCTTATCCACGCCACGGGCACAAAGTACTACACAGGGTGCCACGAGCACGTCTCCGCGGTAAAGGTAATCCATGGAGACACCGGGACAAAGGGGCCCGGTTGCTCGAGCGAGGGCAAAGGCGCTCGCGTTGGCTTCGAAGGGAGACGGGTCGGCGTAGCTAGGCCACGCACTAGGACACCGTACTGCCCTTCGGCCGTGAGTACGCAGCGGGGCAACAAAAGGTGAGCGTTCGCATCGGGCGCGAGGCGCCGTCAGCGAAGTCCGACGAGCCCCGAGCGACGGGACTCGACAGACGGAAAAGAATGCGTGGCTCACCGTTTGAAGTCCCGGACTGTACTCCCCGCTTCCGACGCAGAGGTTTCTCGGGGGTCCCCCGCGCGCGGCGCCACAGTCAACATCCGCTACCGGGTGAGGGAGTTAAACGTCACTCCGCCCTTCCCAGCGCGGCTGACGGCAAAGGAGGGCAGACATGTCGGGACATGAGAATGGCAGAAAAGACGGGAAAGCCCGCGCAAAGGCAGCGGGCCAGCCTCAATTCCCACACCGTCTTCATCTTCTTTTGGTGTGGTTCGCAATTCATTTTTAGGCGTAAAGCATTGAAGTGCCGGGTCCAGCAATCGGATACACTTGGCGTCACACTCGATAGCACTGATTAGGGGCATGTACGGAGTCCGACGATCTCGGAAACACTCGGTGCCATACTCGGTGTCGCATTCTCGACTGGCGACAGCTGACAGCACAGTTCGGCTGCCGCAAGCGTCGACCGAGTTGGCATTCTCAGCAAAAACAGCGGAATCTTGGTGCTCGTACAAACCGCATAGTACGCTTTTGTGCACAGGAGCTCTGCACCGTCCTTGGCTTCGTTATTGGCTTTGTTACCGGCACTAGTTGCAAAATAAATTGGGGAAAATGATTGAAAGGATAGTGAAAGGCAAACAGCGGCTCTGTAGATGTCGGTCACGGCGAATGGAGCAAAGAGCAACAATGGGGAGAGCGCATGCCATCGAAGGAAGCCCCCACTGCGGCCCAGCAGCAAATGGTGGGTGTGCTTTCTACCGCGAGATATGAATGCGCTGCTCTAGCCAATCAGCACTTCGTATTGCTTTCGGGAAAACCTCAATAGAGTCTCAACCGTGCCGCTGACGCCATTTCGCAAGGCTGCAAACGAGGGAGAAAGAATTCACGCTCAAACCAACAGCAATGTGGCACGGGACGACCACATGGTCTGGGAATGGCACGCCTGCGAAGTTTGGTTTGACTTTATTTTTTTTTGCGCATTATGCCTCTGCAGCCTCGATATTATGCATCTTTTTTCACTTGGGGGGTTGAAATACATGCTTATAATTACAAAGTAGGTAATACAACTTAAAATATGGTTTTTCAAAAGCCGACCTTTTCGCGATTTTGCTATGTTGCTGGAAGCTCCTGCTATGTTGCTGGAAGCTCCTGCACTTGTAAAAAATCTGAGATATGTTGCATTTACCGCAATTACTCGAATCGAACGCGCACCTTTTTTACGGTTAAGCGAGTTCATAAATCGCATGCGCGTTAGAATCGAGTACGAAAAAAAAATGAATACGGTCAATCTATTGCCATCGGCATTTCTAAAATGGCCGCACCTATGTGCGTCGGCATGGCGCGTCGACCATATCTGCCTATGTGTTTCCCATCTGCCGCACTTCGTACGTGTGCTGAGGAGTTTGTCATCTTGTAGTGCATTAGCATCGAAGGCATGGAAGGATCGACTCCAAAAACTCTAGTGCACCGCGATGCCGCTTTTAAAAGAAAGGTCGTGTATGCAGAAACGGACAGAAATCGGGCCGCATCGCGGTCGTTCGGAGTTCTTGAAACGTGCTTGCGGGACTGGCGGAAACAAAAGCAGAAGATTGTCGACAGCAAAGCTTCACGCAAAGGCTTCAGTGGGCCACAGCAGGGTCGGTTTCCGCAAATTAAGGGGGGATGCTACACCTTCCAAAAACTCTTTTATATTTGCGAGTACCTCAGTCAAATTTGGAGAGCCTGTGTAGATTTTACTGCTGATTTCAAAAATCTAATTCATTTTTTTGCTGTGACAATTAGTTTTAAAGATATAATGAACTGCGACTTTTTCAATTAAGGCCTAACTAGCTAATTAACTGTAACTTGGATATTGATGTGCAACCTATAGAACCAATTCGGTATGTTCACAGTGTGCAATAAAGTATAAATCATTGTTCTGGGCTATTTCGAAGCAAAGTTGTAAGATGTTGAATATGACATGAAAAATTTCCCCATCTACACTTGAAACAAAAGATCCATTTAGAGAATTTTCTCCAAAAATTATTACAATAAAACTTACTTTACGAAACATCCCCTGCATTTATCTTCGAAACAAAAAAGAAATCGTAATGATAACCCAGATAGAACAAGAGATATTGCTCCGGCATAATGGGACGCACATGAAAATTGTCGTTTTGAGAAATCGAGAAAAAACGTGGGCAGACATTTTTATTGCAGAAGATGCAACAAGACAACCTCAAGACGCACCAGAAGCATAGTCTGAATGCATTCTGTGCTCATGCCTCCTCTTCACTAGCTTCCGGAGTTCCGATGAGGCTGTTCTTTTCTTGTTGGAGACAATGCTGCGACGGTGGTCTTTTTCTCTCGCTCTCCTGGCACCAGTACTTGTCGCATTCATGTCCATTTCACCTAAGATTGCCGTTGCAGAATTCAAATTGCCCGTGTTGAAGCGCAGCACTGCTTCTGCAACAGCTGCTTCAACAGCGAACAGGGACGCATGGTGCTCCTTGGGGGCCAAACTCCAGATTACCGAATGTAGGCTCTCGTTGGAGTTCTGCGTTTTGCCGCGTTCGCACCTCTGAAGCAGGGCTCTTTCCGAAAGCCGGGTATAAACCGGTAGTAACGCCTCTGCCACGTCTTTCGGTAGATTGTAGGCATGCCTGGGGTCGGGCTCACCCTTTGCTTTTGCGGCATTGTGCCGACACCATGAAGTTTCACCAGCTGGGCACAGACTGTGGTCCGAGCATTCATCAGTGGAGGTGACGTGGCGGTATGTGGCCATCACAGCCTTTTGCATCTCGCCCACGTCACCTTCATGCGATTTCAGAGCCCGGCCATAATATGTGCTCAGCCTGGTGATCAGCTCACCTGTGAGCCTGCCTTTCCCACCAAGGCCTCTTTTCCCATCGCACTTTTGTTTCTGCACCAGGTTTCTCAATGCGGTGCCCATCCGTTTCTGTACATGATTAATACAGTCTTCCTTCTGCACGTCAATGTAACCATACACCTTGGCGTCTTGTATGGCGCAAAATGTCCTAGAGTCTCCATCAGACAGCATAGTTGTGTAGCGCAGGCCATGGCGTTCAAGCGACCTCTGAAATAGAATTAGAGCCGCCTCCACTTCCATTTGCCCCGCTTTGCTGTTCGTATTTTTTGGCATTTGTGGTTAGCCTTCCATTCTTGATAGCCCTCACTACTAGGCTTTGGGCCCACCTCGCAGCCTAGGCAAAAGTTGGAAAGAACGACGTAGTCCAACACGTAGCCACTAAATAATTCGATAACTGTGCCCACGCCGATGTGGGAAGAATGGCCTCGCGTCTTCCACGTGCCGTCGTAGCTAACGGCAATATTGCCCCGGTGGCCGAAGCACAAGTCATCATAAATTGTTCTAACCTTTTCCGCACATTCGCTCATAGCGGACTCAGCCGCTCGCGTTGCAGCGGGTGCCAGCGTGTTCTTCAAATGCCGCTGAAACGTCTTGTGGTGCATACCGCGGTGTGAGATGCCCATTGTTGCGAAATATCGTTCATTTTCGTTTGGCCGTTGCCGGTAGCCACCATCGCCCTCGAAGCGAGAAGATTTACTTCAAACGGATTGCACGTTTTCGTGCCGTTCGCGCGGGGCGAAGTCCATTCATTCGCGATCTCGCCGCACCTTTCACACTGCACTAGCACTTTCACGGCAAGTCCGTAGTCCCGATCCCCTCTGACGATCGTAGCCGGTCCGTGGCAGGCTTTGCAACACAAGGCACCCATTATCGCGTTTAGGATATCTAGATGCATAAGCAGATAAGGAGCAGCGTGGTCAGAGTCCTGTGCGGTTGCCTCGCTACAACTCGCGGTGAAAAAGTCAATTTTCCGTGCAGTTGCTGGCGCCGATGAAAGCCGGTCGAGCGTCGCTTTCTCCCGGGCATGATTTTCTTCAACTTCGGCGTTTGTCACCACCTTGGCGTCGATTCGTAGTCGTCCGGAGTTCGCTTCACCGTCATCGTCGTCGGAGGCAACGCGCTCGGTCGCACCATCGCTGAACGGCCGCGGAGCGTCGACACATCGTTCGTCGGAGTCACCAAGGGCTCTGATGACTTTGTAGACTTTCTCCCACGACCTTTGCGTTTCCTGCGACCAAATGCGTGCACGGTCCGATACTTTTTTGTGTTTCCAGGCATGGCGATACGATCAGAAGCTTCAGAGTGCTCTGCCGATTTCGAGGCGTCACAGCGGTAACCCTTTCAAAATGGCGTCGGGTCGCGTATGCAGGCGCAAGCCGCGAGCTTCCAGCCAACCGAAAAGCGCCATTTCAGTCACGTGCGCCGTTTAGCCAATGGCAGTGAGCGCGGCTCTTCGTCTTTGAGGCCCCGTTTTTCGAGCCGGGGAAACGCTCAATGTTGCTTACTGAATAAAAAACAGCTGAAAACGCGTTCTTTCAAACAAGACCAAAATGGCGCCGATCGAGCGCGTAGTTCCCGCGTATCGTAGAGCCGAAACCTGCGCTATTCGCCCTCAATTTAAAGGGCAGGACGCCCGTTTTCGGTTTTTTAAAGTTGAATAACGATAAAAGTTGATGGTATTCGGCTATGAAATTTTGTAAATAGGTGCGCAATGATGTCGGGAACGCGAAAAGAAGGTCCGCGAAAACTCGATTTTTTGGCTGATTTTCGGTCCCGAAGTGCCGCGTCCCCCCTTAAAGAGCTGCTCAGCGAGTATGTGCTTGAGCAGCGAGCGGCACAGCGGCTCGTGACGACAGAACTGCTCCAAGTGCGGGCTATGCAATTAGCCTTAGAAAAAGGTCTAATGAGGAACCAGTTTAAAGCGAGCAGGTGCTGGCTAACTAACTTTATGAAGAGGAAAGGCTTTTCCCTCCGAAGGGGAACATGCATATGCGAAAAGTTTTGCAAACGAGTACGATGAAAAGCTTCACAGTTTTCAGACGTTCGTCCTAAACTTGCGGCACAACAACGGCTACTTGCTTGGGCTAATCGGGAATGCCGATCAGACGCCTCTTTACTTCGACATGCCTGGCACCACAACCGTCGAGAAGAAGGAAGCGAAGCAAGTTCGCGTGCTGACATCGGTCCACGGTAAAACTACAGTGACGACAATGCTCTGTTACACGTCAGATGGGCACAAGCTTCGCCCGTACCTCATATTTAAATGGAAGACTCTCCCGAAAGGAGTCGTTTTTTCGAGTGGTGTGATCGTGTGGGCTAGCGAGGAAAATGGGTGCGCGTTGCAATCGATGTCTTACGTTTTCTTGGTTTTTTTCGTCGTGGAAATCGGGTGCGTGTTACAATCGAGGGTGCAGTAGAATCGAGTAAATACGGTAACGTATTGCTATTCTTTGAAACCTCTTGATGCGAAAAATACTCATCTGGCTAGCAGTGTTATGTTAATCACAACAGTTCATTTTGTGCTAAAGCAGCACGGATTTGTTATCAATTGGTGTGCAAAAGTGTGTACTTCTAGATTTCATGCACGTTTCCAGTAGCAACTTCCCTCCTCACTGTTGTAGGTACAGCGCATCAACCAGGAGTTCAATGTGCACATCAAGTTTCCCGAACGCGACTTCCGTGAGAGGGAGACGCTTGAGAACGGAGATGTGGCGGTGAATGGCGATGTGGCCACCGAGGAAGAGCCGAGCAAGCCGCGCAAGGAGGACTTGATCTTCATCACGGGCAAGCAGGAGGACTGTGAGAAGGCGCGCGAAGCCCTGCTGGCTCTGGTGCCGGTTTCGCTAGAGGTGTGCGATCTCTGTTCTCACGCAGAATGTAGTTGGCTTTACAAAACCTTAGTTTTTTTTTTCTTGTACGTTGCTTGTTCTAGGTTTTTCTTGCTGTTTAATGCAATAAAAATGAATGTACTAATTAAAGGAAAACTGAAGGCAGAGCTAACCCTTAACACATTTGTTATCGCACTAGCAATTATATGGGTGCTCTCGGTGGGTTTTTGCTGTCGCCGCCATGTTTCGTAACAAGCCAAAATGATAAAATCCGGGGCTAAATTCCTAGACTGTCTGCGGGGAAAATTTGTTATATCAAGGATGTCTCCTGGTCTTACTTTTTTACATAGAGGTTTAAAATATAGGCTTGTGTGAATGTTCGGATGCTTCGAATATTCGTAGGAATAGTTATTCGCATTGAACGAATAGATGTATATTAATCCGCATGTCATTGCCTGTAAAGGTGGTTTCACTACAGTGTAGGAATGGTAAGCTTTGAAAGCACCTCTCAAGGGGAAATTCGCATTGCCGCGAAGCCCTCCTTTTATGGGGGGACATGGGACCCGATAGTGAAATATATTAGTATTAGACCTAGAGACATTATTTTTTTCAGGGAATGTTCAGCTTTGTACACCGATTGAAAATATGTAATTATTTTCTTCACATCAATTCTAACAAAAGTTACAACTATTCTCACTTTATTGAGAATTTGGGATGTGACTTACATAAAAAGTACTGCATCAAAATAGCTATATTTGAACCTGTATATTGCTGAATATTCAAATAGTGCAAATATGCAATTTAATGCTAGTATCTAAATTTTATCAAAGTTGTGAAGTTTTTATGTCGCAGTCGCTTAGCTCTGAATTTTCATTGGTGATTTCTGGAAAATTTCAAAATTTTACAATGTCCTTAAACATTTTGTCAAGGTTTTCTTGCACACTTCTACACCCTGTCATTCAAACAAAAAGAAAAGATCAGGAAATTGAATCAGTAGTAGCGAAACAGTGCTCATCCCAAAATTAAAAAAATGCAAAAATCTGTATTTCTGCAAAAATCTGCAAAAATTGTTTCTGTAAAACTGAAGAAGTTGTGAAAATGAAAATTTCATGCATGAAAGCCACAGCACTTGTATTCACAATCACTCGGAAAGCCTCTGGGGAGTAGTCTGAAGCAGGCTTTTGCTTGGGCTTCTTTGCGGCTGCCTGGAACGCCGCTGAAGATTCACGTTTCCTCTCCAAGCCGACCGCACGGCAATAGTTTTTCTCAACCACCCGCTGGCTACCTGTGCATGTTTGATTTAGCTGCAGTTTTCGCAAAATAAGCGAACTAGATTTCTTGTTTCCTAAGTTGAAACGCATAACAGCATCTGCCATGGCAGTCTCAACGGCAAACGCCGCGTTCTTGTCCTTCGGTGAGAGGCTCCAAATGACCGAATGCAGGGCCGTAAAAACTCGTCAATTTTGTGATGTCACCCGTGAGGTGGCCCTTGCCACTGATGCGCTCGCTGCTGTCCCCTTTGTGCTTCTGCACATGGTTCGAGCAGTCTTCTTTTTCAATATTTATGAAGCCGTGCACCTTAGCTTCTTTGACAGCACTGTACGACCGGCTGTCACCATCACAAAGCATTGTGGTGTACCTGAGGCCATGAAGCGAAAGGGAGCGCTGAAATAAAATCATTACTGCCTCTACTCTCATTTGGCCAGCCTTGCATGAAGTATTTTTCTGGCATGAATATTTGGCTTTCCATTCAGAGTATTCTGGGCTCTCGGGTTTTGGACCACATTCACAGCCGAGGCAAAAATTAGAAGCACAACATAGTCTAGCACATAACCTGAAAAAACTTCTATCACAGTGGCTATTCCAATGCGAGAGATGTGTCCTCTTGTGTGCCAGCTTCCATCAAAAGACTGCAATATTTTCGGGGTTGCTGAAATCGAGGTCCTTGTAGAGGCACTTTACCACTGTGGCACACTTAGTCAAATGTCTGGCACAAGCTCTCGTTGCTGCTGGCTGAAGCTTCATTTTCAAGTACTGATACGTTTTCGTGTGAAGGGCTCGATTGTGAAACACCGATAGCGGCAAAGATGTCATTCAGAGCTGTCTGATCATTTCCAGTGCTCTGAACCGCACGCGCCGTGCGAATGTTGATTTCGAACGGGTTGCAGTTACTGCTGCCACCAGCCCGTTGCGAGCTCCATTTCGAACAAACTTCTCCGCAGTTGCTGCAGTGAAGCTCCAGCTTAACGGCTACGCCGTACTCACGCACGTCGCGTTCAATGGTCTACCGACCATGGCACACTTGGGAAGCAGAATGTTTGTTTAGTAAACTGTTCACCATGTCGAGGTCACCCATGGTATACGTCGGGGCTGACGAACTTTCGGTGCCGCGCTGACTCGCGAGAACACTCATTTTGCGATCGGTTGCCGAGATCGGTAACCGGATAGAGCTATGTGTTAATATAGTGCAGACTACTTGTAAGCAACAGCTTAGTGCGGTCTTCTTGGACTTCTGTTTACTCTTCCTTAAGGGGGGGCGCGGCAAGTAAAGTGCCGATTTTGGTCAAAATATGCGATTTTCTGATTTATTTTTTTTCGTAATCTTCAGACCTTCAACTTCCTTGTTCTAAAATATTACAGCGAAACGTGCGCTACAAATCCCGCAAATAGTGTTTTTGCCGAGGCTAGTCGCCAAAAAGTGCGAAAAAAAGCCCCTGAAACGGTGTTGTTCACGCCGCACAAACGCGCCAAGTTGTTGACCGTGGGCCGCCATTTGGTAGCTTTGGAAAGAGGAGAAAGCCGGCTTCCCGATGGTCGCGGTCTCGTATTTCGCCGAGTGAAAATAAAAGCGCGAGGAGCAAATAAAAAAACGAAAACGAAGAACGGCAATTGGCTGCGCGGGTCACGTGGTAGCAGGCGCGACCTCTTACTGGTCAAAGCTGCGCCGCGCACCTTGGCAACCTTGGAAGCGCGAGCGCATCTGCGGCCGCCGTGTCGAGAATCATCCGGCGTGCGCTTCGTTTTTTGCCAGTTTGCTGTTTTTGTGATAGTTCGCGTGCTTTTTTTTACCAAGCTTTGTTACATCGGTGGTCTCTTCTGAGTGCTTGCTCATACTGCGGTGCTATGTTGCCGCAAAAAAAGTTCCGGAGCGTCCACAAGTACGGCAAGCGTCGGAAAGCTTGGAACAAAGGGCAGACGACTGCGGCTGCCGTCCCAGTCGCAGTTCCGGACGGAGCATGCTCTTCGAGCGTCACGGAGCCTCTACTCAGACCCTTCGCTGATTGTTGTGAGGCCGAGAGTGTGGAAGGTGCCACATCGTCGTATGTCAGACCGCCGGATGCCGTCGACCGTGATGGACGCTCTCGCGAACCCGATTGCGGTGGCACCGCGTCGGCAGCCGTTGCAACTCCGGGCGTGCGCGCGTCGAACATTCTATCGCGAGTTTCGGCCCAGATTTCGAGCAGTGAAGAAATCGCGCAGCGGGCGCAGACAAGGCGGGATGTTTTGGATGCCGTAGCATCGAAGTCCGCTTCAAAGCGGAAGCTCGAGCTTCTGAACGAAGGCTGCGACGAAAATGACGGCGGTAAGGACTCCACATTCTTCATTGTAAATAAGAAGATGCTGAACGGTCTGCTTTCGTCAGTAAAGTGCAACAAGTGCGACGAAGGGTCGATACGCCTCGAGACTACGCACTGCCTTGGACTCGCGGCGAGGATGGAACTTTTTTGTGACAATTGTGGCAGAGTGAACAGTGCGTGGTCGTCCCCGAGGTGCTCCGGGCAACAAAAAACGAACCCCTTTGAGGTAAACGTGCGTGCTTTGAGGGCTGTGCAGTCAGTTGGCAGAAAACAATCTGCCATAAATGACATTTTTTCTGCGATGAACATTTCGCATCGAGCACTGCACCACAAGTCCTACCAGAGACTGCAAAGGAAGTACAGCCACCCTGCCACCACATCAGCTGCCACCCGCATTGAAGCAGAAAGTGCACAGAAGGTGCATGACATTTACAAGGACCTAGGAGGAGTGCCAGGCAACATTGACGTCATTTACGACGGCACGTGGATGACGAGGGGGCACAGAAGTCATATTGGCGTGGGCTGTGTAATCGAGCTGTACACAGGCTTGGTCTTGGATTACTGTGTCCTGTCCAACTACTGCCAAGGCTGTGCTGTTGGCCCCAAGCCTGGTGACGACAACTATGAGGAGTGGCTTGAGAAACACAAGCCACAGTGCCAAAAGAACACCGATGCTAATGCAGGCCAAATGGAAGTAGAAGCAGCTAGGATCATGTTTGAAAGATCGTTACCAAGTACAAGCTTCGATACATCAATGTGCTCTGCGACGGTGACAGCCGTAACGTACCTTGCCCTCACGCAAGACAAGGTGTATGGCTACATGGTGATTAAGAAACAGGAGTGTGTGAACCATGTGAAAAAAAGAATGGGCACTTCCTTGCGCAACCTTCTTGATGAGCACAAATCCAAAGGCCGAGGACTGAGCATGGGTGGCAAAGGCCGGCTGACGCAGGGCCTGATAAAGAAGTTGACGAATTATTATGGCTGGGCCATTAAGAGCCACCCCAACGATGTTCCTGGCATGGAGAGGGCCATCATGGCCACTTATTACCATGTAACATCCACAGACCAGGATCCACACCACAACCTGTGCCCAAGTGGGACTGACTCCTGGTGCCCGCACAATCAGGCATTGGCCAAGGGAGAGCCGCTGCCGCCTCACAAACATAAACTGCCCCCTCACGTGCGAGTGGCACTGCTGCCAATCTACAAGCGCCTCTCGAACAAAGAGCTCCTTGAAAGGTGTGCGCAGGGAAAAACCCAGAACGCTGTGGAGAGTATGAACAGCCTCATTTGGTCACTCCAGTCCAAGAGCCAGTTCGCCTCCCTTCGAAGTGTGGAAAGTGCAGTTGCAGATGCAGTCTGCCGTTTCAATGGTGGCTGCAAGAGTGCGCTGCAAGAGATCACTGCTCAACTGGGCTTCAATCCAGGAGACTGCTCTTTGCGGCGAGCAGCCGAAAAAGATGCCAAAAGGGTAAAGAGGGCTCAAAAAGCGCATTGTTCCACGACAAAGAAGCGCAAAACTGGGTTGCGCTCTACAGAGGCCAAGGCCACAGCATCTCAGGATTACTGCCCAGGAGGATTCTGAGTGTTTTAGCCATGTTGTGAACTTCCAAACAAGAGTGAACTTTCAAAGTCAGTTTTCTCAACTCTTGATTTTCGCCTATGTGCCTTCGCTAGAACATCTGTCATTTTCTAACAAAGACTGATAGAGTCGTTCCGTTTTTTGCACTAGGCTCAGGAGGCCTTTAGCAGTGCAATAAGCTTTATCTCTCTTCTTACTCATCATTTAAAATTTTTAGAACACATTTTATAATTACTGCGATGTGTGCGCAAAACAACATCCATGTTTTGGAAATTTTATTTATGGTTACAAGAACTAGAAAAATCAACTAATAGCTTCTTTGCACAAGTTGATGCTTTGGGAACATAATAATATGAAAAAATAATTTCATTTAGCAATAATTATCTCTTTAAGTGTGAAGAGCATTAATTAGTATAATTATGCTCGTAACTCAAAAACTACAAGAGGTATTTGAAAACGGTTTTCATATTTGGAATCCTCACAATCATCCACATACACACACCAAATTTCATCACAAACAGTACATTAATAAAAAAATTAGTTTTACTTGCCACGTCCCCCCTTAAAACCCCATGTATATGCATACCGCTTATTAAGCAGATGCCCAAGATAGTTATAATGTGGTTGCGAGTAAACTTTTCTGACAAACGTGTAGCGGTGTGGTGAGTAAAGGGGTTTTACTCAATGGGCTCAGGTCATCGAACGCACTCAAGACAACCTGATAACACGAAGACGTTCGTTATATTGAACGAGGACAAGAACACACACGAAAAAATCTCGCAAAGAACATGAGGACGATACGAGGTTAAAGAAAGTCTACTGGCAAGTTCCTGTCCACGCGAGATGCAAGTCTACATCTTAACACTCAACGCACTTCACTTCTACGCCACCAAGTTTTCAAGACGACACCCACCGTCGTTGGGGTGATCGTAGCACCGGGCAACATGGCATTGAGTCTGTCGCGGCAGCAACCACGGTGGGAACACGCCTTCTCGTGTAGCTCGCTGGCTCGAGCTTACGTCGACGTTCCGCACCCTGCCATCTTGCTGGCGTCCAGGTCACGCTCGACTGAAGCGAGCGCCCAGGACACGGGGTCGAAAGCCCCGACAACCATCGAAGCCGGCTGCGTACGTTCGCTCTGAGACCAGAACAGCGGCTGGCCATGAAGAACGTTGCTTCAGAGAACCCCGGGGGTAAGGGGGGGCGATGCCCAGTCCAGAACGTACCCGAGGACTTCAACGCTGAGACGAGGCCCGGACACAGAGGGTCAGAACGAGCAGTCGGGGCGTGGCCCGAACTTGTCTTTTCGCTCTTCTCTCTGAGGTTAGCCGAGCTGTCCCCGTGGCTCGGGAGCTTTTCACGAGGTACGCGCACGAGCACGCGCATAGGCGAGCTTCATCATTTCACCGCTATCACCATCGTGGTAATTCCCACGCACCTGAAATGCTAAATCGGCCCCGCACACCAATCACAAATAAATCGGCCCCTACGGCTCACTCCTCGCAGTCATCACAAGCGGGTGTGCTTTTCAAACGTGCTTGTTACAGATATCACATTTGCTACCTCGTCCACAAATCTAAAAGCTTTACGACGCAAACTTCCACATTTTCTGCCAGGGCACAGACTTGCACAAGGTTGACAAGCTTTTGTCGCCATTGATCTGTCTGCGAACCCAATCTGTATCATGCGCGCTGCGCTTGAGTCTGTTCTTCAGCACGCTCTTTTTGATGCCCAACCTTCATTGTTGTTCTGGACTAACTTTCCGGTCTCCATGCACGCTGGGTGTAGGTGGTAGTAGCATTATCTTGAGGTTTCAGGAACACTGTGTGAAGGGCAACGTGACTGAGACATTTTCCCGTGAGGTAGTTCAATAGGAATGAGAAATATTGTTTGAAGGGACCATTGTGTGTCTTAAGTGATGGGAATCTTTTAGAGCAGAAAGCTACACCACAAGATCGAACCCGCAGGACGGGTGCTTGTCTTGTTCTTTGTGATGTTGCTTTTTGCGTGGAAAAATTCCCGTCGATTGAGACGCATGTGCCCATCCTGTTGTCCTGTTCTTGTGCGTGTTTTGTTCTTGCGCTCGAAAACTCCCGTCAACTATTCACCATCTCGCTGAATCTTTAGCTTTGTTCAACACTCACATAAGATTTCGTCCCTTTGAATGAGCAGATATGAAACTGTGTACCTACTGAGTTACACCTTTCAGCTGTCTTGTTTCACGGTGCATTTGGTTTCCCTCAAGATGGCTCACCACCAGTGTCTCATTGGGTGTGCACGCAGGTGGAGGTTCCGTTCAAGCTTCACCGCTTCATCATTGGCCAGAAGGGGGCCGGGGTGCGACGGCTCATGGAGGACCACGACGTGAACATCACGGTGCCCCCACAGGCCGACGAGAGCGACACCCTGGTGATCTCTGGCCTGGCCGACAACGTGGCCTCGGCCAAGGAGGCCCTGCTCGAGCGCGTCAGCCAGATCCTCGAAGAGGAAGAAGACAGGGTGAGATGCAGCTGCTTTGGTTTTAGCCCAGAGAAACTTTGAACGCCTGTAGCATTAGGGCTATATTCCAATGTGCGCAATTTTTGTTTGGGCTGGTGTTTAGTCGAATTTTTTTATAAGCTTCTTGGGACCTTCAAGGTACTGTTCCGTTGAGATAACTGCGTGCACCGTAGTGCTCGCAGTGTACTCAGGACACAAGTAATCCTTTGTTATACAGGTGTTCAGCTGTATGCCAGGTTAGGTTGTGTGACAACCTAGAGAGTGAATGAAAGAAGGGGAATTTTTACGCGAGGAACAATTCCCTAATACACACAACAATATGAATTGAACAGGCAACAAGGCCAAAGTAGGTTCTTTCGTCCACTTTAACTCAAATAAATTACAAAGTAATTACTTCACTACATGTGCCTGCTCCAGGCTAGCCTCGGCTGCTTTTGCTGCCATAAAAAAACTAATTTAATGATTACACTACAGTTTGACACTTGATGACCCCTATGCCTTCCTTGGCCTGATTCGTATGTTGGATTCATTTAGTTGTGTCCAACTTAAAATGCATTGGTTCATAGGATGGGGTAATAGAGCGCATAAGCAGACAAGATACCAAGAGACAGAATTACACAAACGACCACTCTTGTTTGTTTGTCAGACAAGCGCTCTCTTCATACTGCTATGGATCAGTACTAACTCCCCCAAATTTCTGTGCTTCATATGATCTGCTGTTTTAATGGGGCCATAGTGGCAAGCTTTTTTTCCTTGAAGTAAGCAACTTCCCCCTGCAGATAAAGTGGTACAGTTTCAAGTTCTGCACCGGGACAAATTCTTCATTTTTGTAATTTCGTTAAGCAAATGAGTAGATGACAATTTTTTTTAAATAAAGTAAGCGTTACTCGTTACAGTGAACATCTTATTTTGAGAAATCTGTTGGAAGACTGTCCACAAAAAACGAATGCATGCCCTTTTTCTTTTTACATCGTCGAGTGGTAAAATTTTACTGCCACATTTGAGGCAGCTCTGTAAGTTTGCCAGTTCACTTATCAGGTGGCCATGCAGTTGGAACTCGCTGTTGCCGCCTTAGTGTCGATCTTTCCATGTTTTTTTTTCTTGGCGAGTTGTAACAATGCGATTTGCCTTGCTTCGATCGTGCAGAAGGCACGCAGCTTCCACCTGGACGTTGAGGTGGATTCCAAGTACCACCCGAAGATCATTGGCTGGCGGGGCGCCGTCGTGACCAAGATTCGCAAGGACCACAATGTACAAGTGCAGTTTCCTGAGAAGGGCGAAAACATGATCACCATCATCGGCTATGAGAAGAACGCTTGCAGTGCGCGTGATGAGATCCTGCGCATTGTCAAGGAATGGGTGAGTGTGTGTGGCCATGTCGACTGCAGCATGGATGTGGTTGCGTTTGTGAATAAACGGGGGGGGGGGGGGGGGGGGGTACTTGTGGTGGTTGGTAAGAACTCTGTGACGACTACATTGTCCTCGAGGGGAGATGGTGCACGAAAGAAAATTTTCTTTTGTAGCCTAGGGCAGTGACAGCTTTGCTTTTTTAATTTCTTTTTGTAGTTCCTCATGCTGGCTTGAAATATTTAGTAAGTATTACAGTAAGTTGTGAAGTTTGTTTTGTATTGTGACAATGTGTAGAATGTAGCCCTTTTCGGATTCACTTTCTCGGCTGCTAAACTTCTGTATTTATGAGTCATTAATGACTCCTGCACCTCCATATCCCCTTCGAAGTCGATATATCCGGGATCGACCGTACATCTTGCAGAGTGTACCAGTGCTTCGTTCACAGAAACAGTCTTGCTATTTAGAAAGACACGACTGTGTTGTTCGCCTGAAGCACAGATCATTAGTCTCTTAGATACATATGCATTCCTTATGCAGGAGGACATGGTGACAAAGGAGATAGAGATTGATCACCGGGTGCACTCCCGGCTGATTGGGGCCAAGGGGCGCAACATCCGGCGCCTGATGGAGCAGCACAAGGTGGAGATAAAGTTTCCGCGTCCCGAGGACCCCAACAAAGACCTGGTGCAGGTCACTGGTGCAGAGGAAGACGTTGAGGATGCCCTCGACTACTTGAAGCAGTTCGAGGATGAACACGTGAGTACATTCCCTCTCTTGGTAAAACTAAAGACCCTAGATTTTCTCCCTTTTAGCTGAGTACCGGCAACTGCCACCTCTCGCGGCTCTCTCTTAAGCGCAGCCGGCGTCTGCAGCCGTTTTTTCTTTTTTCTTCCTAACTTGGAAGATTTACGAAGCCACGTACAGTCGACGTCCCATTCCCCGGACACTCAAGGGACCGCGAAAACATCCGGAAAATCGGGCAGTCCGTAAAAACGAATGGACGTGAAAGCGCACCTTTTTTTGCAAGTATTTTTCGCTGACAAAGAGGGTAATTGCCGGCGTACAAGATTCCCATTGCAATTTAGCCAATGCATCATTTAGGTGGCTCTGAAAAAAGCTGTTCATTAAAAAAAAAATCGACGTGGCCGGCGCTATCTCATAGGTCAGCACTTTGGCGCAATGAAGTCACCTATTTTCTTTTGCACGGCGTTGCGCTTGCCCGCAATCATGTCTGCCTCAATTTCAGTCAAGGTCATGTTGCCGCTGTGCACAGATGACATTGTCATCAGTGCTCGCGTTGGCTGTGTAGGAGATGGCTTTTCATTCTCGGGGTCGTCGGAATCCTCCGTAACTTGACGAATGATTTCGTCATCGATCAAGTCCGCACATAGCTCGAGGTAGCTCAAGGTCTTAAAAAGTGTCGGCGAAGCCCTCAAAGGTTATGCGCTGGAATCAACATGCCGACAGCGCGCAGATCGTCAAAGGCAACATCTGCAGATAACAGTTCGTCACACACGCTGTTCACTTACGGCGAAACTGCCGTCTTGGCCCCGAGTGTGAAGCCCACGTAGTGAGAACAGTTCCGCACAGTATCTTGCGTATCCACCTTCCACGATTCCGCTAACATGCCGACGGCAGACCTGAGGTCAACAGCATAGCTTTACCCATCCTGAGCCTACGAGCGGGCTTTGTGTGCTTTGAAGGTGTGGACGAAGACGAAGGAGCAGTCGGTGCCATCGCTTTAAATGGCGAATTCGCTCGACGAAAAGCGCAGCACGAAACAGCTAGGAATTCGATGGATGCTGAAGGTCAGGAAACGTGATCACTGAAGATAACGTGCAGCAGCAAACGATCAACGGCAAATGCGACCGCAGAGCTGACAAAACAACACGTGAACGAACACAGGGAAGATTGGCTTGGCTAAGCTACGGCTAGGCAACGGATTGACACAGTGCAGTTTCGAGGTTACGGCAGTCGCGGCGCGGTGTGGTGGTTGGCGGTGCGAGGATATGAAAACAACCGAAATGGCGGCATAGGTGGTGACATTGGGTCAGCGGTTAACAGTAAAAAGTGCGGGAAATCAGATGCAGAACGCTATAAGCATCCGGAATTTCGGACTTTTAATACATTGACGTTACGGGGAACTTGACGGGGCCACAGATGAGTGCGGGAAATCGGGCATGTCCGGTATTTCGGGCATTCAAGAAATCAGACATCTACTGTATGTCTAAGTACATTAGCCACGCATCTTTCAGTGGACGCGACGAGCCTGTTTCCGCCCCGTTGTTAGTGAGCAAGCGACTCCTTCCATCAGGTGCTGGCAAAGCGTTGGGAAAAACATGGCTGCCGAAGATGAGCTTTTGCCTGTGATTCGTCTATGCTGGCTCAATGGTTGCCGGTATTTGATAAAGAGCAGGACAAAAATCTAGGGACTTCAGGTGAAACTTGAGAGGCTGGCATGGTTTGACTCGCATAAGCTTTTGGCTTGAATTAGCTTTGGCATTGTAATGATTGAGAATATGAAACCCGAGAGGCTGGCATGGTTTGACTCGCATAAGCTTTTGGCTTGAATTAGCTTTGGCATTGTAATGATTGAGAATATGGTCCTATGCAGTTTGAAGTTGTACTTTGACAGCTACCCTAGGACCACTGTGGTGTCCTTTCGCACAGTATTCCTGTGGGCTTCACATCATACTGCAGGGATCGCTGTGAAGCAACTGCTTCTACCGAATACAAAACCGAAATCCGGCAGTGCTCTGCGTAAGGCTTCATCATGAGTGCGTGTTACCAATTGATCGTGATAACTGGTGCAGCAGTGTGCATCAACGATGAGACAGCTTGATGAACCTTATGTTCATACCGAGGCTTCTGAGGCTATGAAAGTTTATGGCTTTGCGTTCAAGTTTTGCTGTTGTTGCTGCTTCTGAGTCTTTTTCAATTGTCTCCCCAGCTGGAAGACATCATGGACCAAGAGAGCTACCAACCTGCGTCCCGCCAAGGTCAGAACAGCGGCGGTGGCAGCGGGAACAACGCTCAGGGATGGACCGAGCAGTCCCCTTCGAGCGAGGGATTCGTTGTGCGCGGTGGGCCGTGGGAGCAGCGAGCGCCCGACACCACGAGCACGCAGGAGTTCCCCTCGTTCGGCGGTGGACCGCCCATCGACTCTGTACCGGCCAAGCCTGTGCCTTGGGGGCCCTCGCGCCGCTAGGCTCTGGCAGAGCCTCTTGTGCTCCATGAGCTTTCTCCCCCCCCCCCCCCTGTTCGTGGCATCCCCCCCCCCCCCTCTATTGGGAGTGAAACTCCTCCGCTCGACTTCCTTCCCCTCGTTCTCCCTTTTCTCGTTTCCACGACACTGGCCCCTTTATCAACTCCATTGCTTTTTTTTTTCCTTGCAACACTTGTTTCCATTCACCACTGAAGGGGACATAGCAAAAACAAAAGAATTTGGGTCTTCCGTTTCCGCAATATGGTTCTGCCGTTGAAAAAAAAAAAAAAAAAACCTGCACACACGGTGCGCCGCGAGAGCTGCACCGGACCAGAAGTGTGTGAAAGAACTGTCTTTCCAATGAAATTTTGTCCTCCCTCATTTTTTTTTTTTTTTCGTTGTGAAGTCATTCCTATCCACTTACCATTGTATCCAGGTCCTCTTTCTCTCCCTCCCTCTTTCTTTTTTCTCATCTGTTGGCTGCATTGCAGTGAGTGCCTACAATCTGCCCTTCCAAACAGCGGTCATACTGCATGGACTGAAAGCAGTTCTCTCGTAGCTTTCATGAAGTCTTTCCTCTCTTTGTTTTTTTTGTGTGTGTGTGTTGCAATGTAATGTAATGTGTGCCTGAACTGTGATTGTGTGCATGACAGGCTTTTTAATTTTTTTTTTCTCTCCTACGCACTCGTGGTGAAAAGGTAGCTACTACATGGCAAAGTTTGCAGCGATGAATGAAATGGCAGGTAGCTTATATTTTGCCTGACCTTGCCCCCCCCCTTTCCCTCTTTTTATAAAAATGTACTTGCCAAGTCAGCCTTTAAAAAATTTGCTTTCTTAGTACGTCATTGGTTCGCAAGCCACCCTTTTGTCATATGCCGCCAGTATGTCTTTGCTGGAACTTCTGCTTAAAGGAAACGGCTTCGTCACGCTAACTCATTGTTCTCGGTTCTTTTATTGTTGACTTCAACTCGGACACTATTATGCATTTTTGTGCTTTTGAGACTGTTTTTGGGGAGGGTGAGGTTGTTGATTAAACCTGAACGGCTGCTACAGCTGTTAGTTTGCTGCTGTTATGGAACTGTTAAGTCTTATCACTGCAGGCCGACAAGTCCTTTCTTTTGTTGCAAAAGAGTGTGCCGTTCACATGTTGTCTACACGAATGGTTGCAAGTGCGACAGGAGCAGTCTTCTTGTGTTGCTTGTCTACACTTAACCAATGTGAAGTTTTTCTTTCTTGAGAAACTGACCAACCATGTTTGTGCTTCCGGTACTGACACTTTCTTTTCCTCAAGAAATTGCATCTCTGTACAGGTGCTTTTTCAAGTCGCCGGACAAAACAAAAGATCAACGTTTCTGGGGCACTGAGGTGTGGTGGGGGATGGAATTTATCTTCAGTAAATGTATGCTTATGAAGAAGTACTTCTGTGCTTCTGTTTTAACTGGCCTTCTCACATAGAGCTACTTTTTTGTATTGTTTCCCTGCCATCTGTATTAAAAAATTGTGCTACATCTTGCACACATCAGTTGGAATTCAACTGGTAGCACTCCAAGTTCAACTTCATGAAAAAAAAATCTAGATCTACTTTCTTGACTGCTGCAAAGTTTGTTGTGTAGGTGTTTGCAATTTTCAGAAAATGTGACAAAAAAGTTTGGTCTAAAGTATCTGTCCCTCCGCTCCTTCTGCCCCACAATTATTTTTGTCAAATGTGTTGTCTTTTTTGTTGTGATGCAGCTGCTGTTCAATGAATTTCACAAGGGTGTTTTTTTTTTTCACTCTTAGTAGAGTGTATAACTACAGTTAGATGGTTTAAGTGTTGCTTTGTGCTGTATGCTGGAAATCGGCGTGTACAAAAAAAGCTGCTTTCAGCAAAAGTTGTCTAAGCCTTCCACAGGTACAGGTACTTGCGTACCACTAAAATCTGTAGTAGACACTTCTTGAATTGAGTCACTTCTTTTTTTTTTTTTTTTGTATGGTGTGAGTGTCCTTGGCAAACAAAGCACAAGTTGTGTACGGCAATGCTCAAGTTTTTCTGGGTGCAAATGAGAGAACCTAAACTCCGACGCTCCCTAAAAACCCTGTATTTTTTGTGCAGTCTTTGTTTTACCGCTGTACACAAGAAAAAGCCTGATAGAACTTTTTTTTGCTATGTGCATTCTGTAAGGAGCCCTCACCTTGTCAACGTTGTTGGTTGGTACAGCAAAATTTTTTGCTTGTTCACATGAGTGTGTTCGAGTACTCGCCACTTAATTTTTTTTTTTACTAGCTCCCAAGTTGTGTGCAATGTTTGCAACTCTGATCAAGTCTGTAACAAGCTGTGCTAGACATGGCACATATTTGTTCTGCCCCCTCATTCCCACCTGTCCCATTCTTTTAAAACTCTTCGGCAAACCTTTGCAAGCATTTTAGCAGAAAAAAAAAAAAAAACGAAAAGTGAGATTAAGTGCGGCTGTCAGAAAACTCTCTCGGGGGCAGAGAACCACAATGTCGCTGTGTGAATGGTGGCGAAAGCAAGAAAGTTGTGGAACGTCCCTTGCGCCCCCCAATGTGTGGTGGCTTGGGTTGAGGGTCCTAGTTGGGGGCAAGTTTCTATGCAGTCTTTTGTGCCAGTCGTTGTATATTCTAAAAGAGGTATATTGATCTATAAAAGGGGAATAAAAAACATGTTACAAAAGTTGTCCATTCTTTTCCACTACTGCGATTGCAGCAGTGGTGTGCACCACATGCAGACTTCTTCACACGAAGCAACTTCGCCTGGAAAGCTTCCTTTGTGAATTGCTCCGTGCTATTCACTCTATAACTTATTAGGTCAGATGTGAACACTCAACACGAGACAAAACCACTAATGTTGCAGTCCTAACAAATGACGTTAAGTTCAAATGAGTAGCACTAGATTCTCCGCACTTGTTTCTGTGCAGTTAGTACTGGCTTCTATTTCAGTACTTGACACACTGGAAGTGCACTATCCCTTGAGTCTTACATAGACTTCCTGCAGCGATTGTGGCCTGGCAAGCTGCAATGGTAAGTGCCGCTCCTGGACTAGGAGCTCCACTTGCATTAACCAAGCAGCTTTTCCTGCGGTTCAGCAAGTTTGATAAAATATTCTAGAAGGAATATGGTTGCAGCTTAGCTAGAGACTTCAGGTGTACAGAACGTAAACTTGTTTCTGGCTTGTGTGAGGAAAGTTCTAAACACTGGACACAACTTTCGTGAGCAGAGGAGTGCGAGTTTCTCCTACTACTACGGTTGTGTACCTTGTCCTGTCGCCTGCAAGATACCTTGTGTAGGAGCTACTTCTTTCTCCACCATAAACTCTGGGTGTAAAACTTGAGGGAGTAGCGTTGTCGAAGTTGTGCGCGAAATCTCATCTAGGTTCCTTCTGTTTTATCATTGGGCAATCTGCGGCAGCCCGCAAATCCAAATATGGCAACCCCGAAAGTGAAGCCACATGGAATTAGCGGACTTGTTTTCCTGTTGCCCACAACGGCTGGATTGATCTGCTAGCTCTGGCCAAACTGGTGCAAGCGGCTGGTTGCTATTTTTACAACCACCGACCTCGAACGAGCACGCGAACGAAACTACTTGCGAGGCGCGCGGTGGGGTCCGTGCTGTCGCAAAAGGGCCATAGACGTCGCGTCGGTCGCTTTATTTTCATTTTGTTACGCGGTTATGGCAGACGACATCTCGGAGGATATATGCGACGACTGGGAGGATATGGTTGAAAATGGCGTAAGTTTTCTTCGCCAGATCGTTGGTGTGCCCAGCTTGTATGCGTCTCGGTCGAACGCTTCCTTCGCTAGTTGCCGTGCTCGTCGTTAACGACGCGTGCCATCGAAGCGAGCGCGATGCTTTCGGTACGTGAGAAAGGCAGTAGGCCTAACGTTAGGCCTATGTTTCTCCACTGAGCCGATCTCTTTTCCATGTTTTGATTCATTTTAGCTGGGTCCCCTCCTTTTCTTCTCTCTCTGCTTGCGACTGATAAACGAATTTCATTTTGCGTGTGCGTTTGGTGCGCGCGCGTGTGCCTTGTTGTGTCTTTGCGGGCTCTAACGTGCGCTGTCATGTCCAATCAGGTGCTGGAGAAGAAGTTGGAAAGGTTAAAGGTGAAAACAAACTCCGCAAACAGGTCAGTTTACTTGACGTTTCTCTTCCCCTATCGCGCTAGCACTCGATCCCGAGAGCGTTTCTCTAGGACCCCTTTATTGTAACTCTAGATTGCTGAAGATCTTATTTTTGGAAGTAACAGCTTGCATAGGCGCCTGGTTTACGTTTTCTTTTCCTTTTTTCTTTTCTGGTGCTCACAGTAGACTAACCAATCTACTGAGCTCGCTTCTGCCGGGGTCCTGACCTGTAAATCTCACTGCAGTGTGTTTCACTGCTGCACTTGTACCTATGCCCATCCAGTTAACGTGTACCTCAACACCGATTTCGTTACGTCAGTTCGCGGTCGTCACCGAACGTGACGTAGTGGTCGCACGGCTTCGAACTCGCAAGGCTCATCTGGCCTTCTCACGACGCCCGTGTCAGTTGCATGCTTGGATCGGCAGACAGCCCTAGTTGGCGGCTGCGTCGCGTGTCGATCTCATTTCTCTTGTCACTCTGTCTTCACAGTAACAACGCGAATCCTCCTTCAAGTGGAGGCGGTGAAGTGGCGGTGATGCCGCGTGTACTGCTCGAAGACAGTGTTCGGACGCAGTACACGCCAGCCGTGAAGATTCTGAAGCGACCCCCGGACGCGAGCCGGTCTGGCTGGCAGTGTGAACGGCACGGGTCCCGAGAAGTCGCCCATCCGGCAACCCGTCAAGAGCTTACAGCAGCGGGAAGCCGAGTACGCCGAGGCGAGGCTGCGGATACTGGGCTCGGCTCGCAGCGAAGACGACGGCCAGAAGGACAAGTGAGCGACGCTTTGTGTGCTCTGACGTTGTGTCCTTAATATTTTAATGTCCCTAATATTTAATAATTAATGGGCCCTTAATAAGCTGTGCGCTTTCTATGTTATTGTTCGTGGCCCTTTTATGACGGCCTGCCCTGCTCTCTTGCGAAGGAACAGACGCCCGTCAAAGTTTCAACGAAAAATGAATTATTACATTTATGAATACTAGTACTACAGATTTCATGTTGATCAAACAAGGGAACCAAGTTGGGTCGTGCTTTTACATAATTAGTACATAGCACAACGATTTGGTGTAACTGTCCGATGGATTTCCAGATGTCGGATGAAGTGAATGTGGCGTCAAGTGGATTAATTTGTTCGAAAGAAGGTAGTACGACAATGTTGATGACAGTCATTTACACTGAAAAATCACTGTCGTCCCGCCTTCTTTGGAACAATTATTAATCCAGTCGGTGCCACAAACACTTAACACGTTGAAATCTACTTCATACTTGCACTAGGCCATTGCAGCATCTCCTACACATATAAAGGCATGGCCCAACTTGGTTTGCTTGTATGTGAACAAGAGACTCCTAGCAGTCTCCAAATGTCATGAATTTATCTTTGGTGGCAACTTTCTTTGGTGGCAACTTTCTTTGGTTTCCGGAGCCCTCCACTACATCAATTTTCATTCTCATATCGTGGTTTCGGAATGTAGAAACCTAACAATTATTTCTTCTTATTCGAAGTGGACTGTGTGCTAGTCTTAATCAAAGTTAAGAAATGGGAAAATATTCTATATTCAGAACCTGTAGTTTGCTTGTTTTATCAAATAGTTCTCTTCAGTTTGGTGAGATTTCGCTGTATGTAAAACTCTGGGAAATTAGCGTGGCTGACAGTTTTGTTGATTCTTTTTCTTAATGTCAGACATTTACTACAAACTATAGACTCCTACATTAATGAGGAAAGGTTGATAAAGCTTTTAGTACACAATGTTTTGAGCACGCATTAGAGTCTCGGTGTGTTGCTTGTACAATTAGGCACAAGAAAACTGTACATTATAAGAGCTTACACGGGCCTGTATGCCATCGTTGCACGTCTATGCTGCCTTTACAGTGATGGCAAAACAAGAAGCAGATTGTGTTTGGACTTCCCATGCCATAGTACAGCTGTGTGCTATTGTCTAATTTTATGGTCGTGATTGTCTATTGCAGGTCATCCGGTGTAAGTGTCTTAAACCACGTGGTGACCGACCAACAGCAAGTCCCTATTCGGCAACCTCGTGGCCCCGATCAGGGATCCAATGGCTTCCAGCAGCCACGGAGGTAGCCCCGGCCTTGGACGCTGCTGCTTTAGATTCTACACCGCGTGTGACCCTTGCTCCCCACCCTCCTATCACCGACTCGCCGACATCGTGTGTGCTTCACACTAGCTAACTGCTGCTGCTGCCTGTGGACCTCCTGTGTCAGAAGTGCGCGAACCCGGGGAAATGAAGCAAAAGAAAAAAAGTTGACGTGGATCCACTTCTCTTCGTGTGTTTTGATATCGGTAACCTTTTCACTCTTTCGTTGTTGCTTTTCTTGAAGTGTGCCCGGCAGATTTCATGTTCTCGAGCGCAATGAAGCAGCGTAAGGTTTTAGCAAAGTGGTGCAGTCCACAAAGCAACTTGGTCTAGAAAGCGGACGCAAGCAACTTGGTGCTGTTGCTATGATAAGCTGCTTCAGGATGTGGTTGATCAGACCTTCCCAACTCTTGGAGAGGCTTAATGGCAAAGAGCAGGGCACTCAAACAGTGCTGCCTTGAGGCCATTTATCGCAGAGAGGGAATGTCCAGTTTTTGGTCAAGTGCATGGGACTACAGAGGCAGTGCATTTTTGGGTGGTTGCATGCATTTTGAGCAGTCCAGTCTGGAAAGCCACCTTTGAAGAGGTCTACATCTATTAAAGAAGTGAAAGAGGATACGTTTGGGCACATGCGTGATTCGCAGCAACTCCTTAATGCTCTGTGGAAACGGTATGAATAGAACGGCTTGAGCACGGCACACAATGACTGTTTGGTTCCTTTTCTCCTGGCTTCTCTCATGCACTAAGTGTTGCCCTAGTAAAGAAATGCTGCGAATTAGCTGCGTAGGGCAGTCCTTGCTGGGGCTTCCCAGTGGCACCTATAGATGCTGAATGTCTTCCATGCAGCCAGCTGGAGTTTTAGTCGGTGTCCGCCATTCACAGGTGGTTCTTGGCTGTCGACGTGTGCTGGTGTGGTTTCCAGCTGAGGGGCTTTGCACATGCGCATGAAGCCAGGAATATGCACCGGCCTACCGAAAGTTCTCACGCGCATATTTTTCTAATCGATTTCCTGGCACTGAGTGTTATTTAACGAGAAAATGTGCAGTTCTTGTGTTCGTTTTTCTTCATAGTTCAGCAGGCACGGACAAATTGGCATCCATGTTGTTGTCAATGGATTAAAAAAAAAAAGCTTTGGAGCAAGAACTGATCACGTCTTGGGATTCTTTTGCTACCTGTCATATTCTTTTCTCATGTTTTAAATTTTTTTACCGGTGTAAACTCTGTTTGTAATGCTTCATTGTATTACTCTTGCTCGAAGCTTATCGTTTGGTTTGCCTTTTTTTCCCCTCCTGGTTTATTTAGCGGGTATGAAAAGCATGTTGCACGAAACTGCATCTGTCAGTGTAATACATACCATAAGTGCGGGCTATTTGTCGACAGTCAACCTTGTATTGAAGCAGCACATGGAGCGCTGGAAATGGAAAGAAAGCTGTGGTGTGGCACTAAATTTTTGTTTTTCGCTTATGTAGTTTGCACCGAAAAATTCTCTAAGGGATAATGTTGGCATGAAACGATACATCAGTATGCATGCCTCCACTTTATAAAATGCTCTTCGTTTATTTTATGCAACATGCTTCATCCGACTAATCGTGCAACAACACGTGATGTGAACTTTGATGACTACAGTGTGCGAGTCAAAATTGGGCCGCTGTACTGTAAACTGCAGGCGGTGGAAAAGGACACATTCATGTAGGTTAGTGATGCCTAAATTTACATTATTTCATTCCGTTGCCATTGCGCATGCTTTGCACCATTCATGAGAAACAGCTTGCAAGATTGATGACAATTGTTGCATGGTAGTAACATCATACAATGTGCACAGTTTTTGAGATCGCATTGGGTCAAACTGCTGCCACACCAGGAATGTTAAATTCAGTGCCATTATTTCAAAACTAGTGGCACAAGTGCTTTATTAACATCATGAGCAATATGTGTATTCCATGATGCAAATAATTTCGGAGTTCTTTCCTTCTGAAAAAAAAAAGTGTATGCTGTTCAAATGCAAAAGTTTTCTTCTCTTTCAAGCAATGTCTTTTCTCCTGGAAGCGTTGGTTCTTTCTTGTTCTTATGAACACTTGTCACGCACTGCCGATAAAATGCCGACTTTTTATTTCCAGCAGTTTTTCCAAGCTGGTGGTTTGACAAAAGCATTTGTAGCAAGAATGCATGTTTCGCATTATGGCGATTTCCGTGAATGCACCCCTAATGAATCAATCAAGTTTCAATGCCAATCAAGTTGTTTCTATGGCAAAACACGGTTTATGAAGTTTGGGTAGGAATCACTCGATGGCAATGACTACATGTGTGGTTAAGATGAAATTGGCATTTATGATATACAATGTGTCCAGCAGAATGTTTGTGGCTTTGGCAACTGTTGAGAGTTTGCATTGTCTTGTGATTTTGCTGGTTCGTTCTGGTGGTTTAGCTTTTCATGTCTGTAAAAACTTGCCACCGTCACGCTTGTACGTGTGCGAATTCATGTTGCCTCGACGGGCAGTTGTTGAGAAAGGTATTTACATGACACTGAAGGACTGACTGCAGTATTTACAAAGCATGCGCATTAGAAGCTGTTAGCTCTGGCAGTATGCTGGCTGTGTGAAAATCACATGTTTCAACAAAATATAGAAATGTTGGAAATGAAATTATGGACCCAAACAAATTTAAAAATAATGAATTCACATTTTGCATCTCGTATGGCTTTCTTAATTACCATGGAGCCGCTTCAAAAATGTTGGCCGGTTCTTTTTGACCAGGTCAGTGTTCGTAGCAAAAGAAAAAAGAAAGTTATTTTTTCTATGTGCATGTGTTAACGATAATTCGAGCCTTTGTTTAAAACCTTGCATATAGATGAATTTACTCGGGGATTGGGGAACCTACAGATTGTACAACATACTACACAGAAAATATATATATTATACACATACTATATATAATATACATATATCTATGTTTACATGTATATGTACATATATACAAATATGAATATTGTTTTGAGCTGCCTGCCCTTGCATTGCGTAAAGTATATGTATGTGTACATATCCATAGGTGAGTGTACATACTGTATCAGGTTATTCTGAGCGGTGGCGTGCGAAGGATAGTCCACTGTATGCATCGCGTGTTTGCATTTCTTTGTGAGTGTACCTGGTGCACATAGTTGACCCAGTCTCCGTAACCTTTTAGAAAGTTTTCTTTGTGGACGTTGTATTTTAGAATTACTCTCCTCGTTTTTTTTTTTTGTTCCTTAGATGAACAAGAAAGAAAAGCTTTGTTGTGGTAGGAAATTCTACTTACAAAAAAGCATGTGTTAGTGCGAGACAGCTTTTTTTTTTTTTTTCAAGGTTTCGTTTTTATAGCTACCGCTTTAGTAAAAGTTGCGTTGTTAGCATATACTGCAGCGACCGAGCCGCTGCCTAGCGTAGAACCTCCGAGCCATTGAATGAACTGCGTAGCCAAACGGTCACAAAATTGGTGCGAGCAGATCGGGGGCCTTGCATACACTAAAAAATGTGCTTGAAGTGTTAAGATTCCAGTTCCATTCTTGTTTTGTGCACTGCAATATTGTTTTTAATTGATTAAGGTGAAGTTTTGCTTGGTGAACAGTGTGCAGGGTCCCGTTAATGTGCTATTGTGTTAAGTCAACTTCTCGCTCGGCTCTGCATTGTTGTTGCATCACGATTGGAGAGGAATGGCTGCTGTAAGTTTATAAAAACTGCTTCTCTTCTATTACATCTTGTGTTGTGTACAGTGAGAAGATCAAAGAGCTGTTTATGTGCAAGGTGTTTGTTATGGAGGATGTGCACTTGTGTGACATTTGTATAAAGGCCTTTTTTGCTCACATTCACGCGTTTTTTGTCCTCGGTTCGAAATCTTTTTTTTTTTTCATGTGCTTTTGTACATTGTCGGATTTCTCTACACTACATCCTAATAAGCATGACTCTTCTATTGGTGACCAAAATTGTCGCGTAGCAACTCGATCTCTGGAGCTCTGCTCTCACCTTGCTTTGCTGGACAATGCCACCGTCACCCTGATTTCTAAATCTTGTGTGAACCCGCCGCGGTAGTCGGACGGTTAAGGTGCTCAACTACTTATGCGAAGGTTTGGGGGGATTGAATCCCAGCAGTGGTGGCCACGTTTTCTATACAGGCAAAAATGCCCGAGGCATGCGTATTTGAGTTTTGGGGCGCGTTGAAGAACCCCGGGTGGTCAAAATTTCGGGAAACCTTCCACCACTATAAACGCCCCTTATAATTGTATCACGGTTTTCGTACATAAAACCTCGACGATCTTCTTCGATGCTATTGCGTTAAAATACCTGTTATCAACTCCATTTTTTGGGGGCCAACTTTTGGTTTATGAGACAGATTTCCTTCAACAGCACTCCCAGTGTCATCCAGGTATGACTAGTCGAAATAGATTATTTGGAAAACGTTGGTGCAGTTCAGCATAGTGACCTGCAGCTGCAAGAATAGTGTTGCAATCGGTAAACACTGATAGCATTGTGAATTGCTATGTTATTTCAAAGGGGCCCTCCAACATTACTCAAGCCCCGTTTTTTTACTCATGCGTTGCGTAGAGTGAAGGGTAGAAAGAATGAAGCAGCAAGAACAACAGCCATAGAGGCATGAAGTCATTCAGCCTAGAAAATTTAATATACACCTGAGCTTTGCTTTCAAGGGAAGAATGTGGTGGCGTATTCGGACCCCGTGCACATCGCCTTCTCAATTGCTAGCCTAACTTTGGTTCTCGGGGCATGCGTCAACTTTGCCGTAAGAAAACGGACAACTGTGGACATAACATTGGCTGCTTGAAACTATCCTAGAATGTCTACTGCAAGTACAGTCAAGTGCCTACTTACCCAATAGTGTTCCTTTTGTGAATTGGCAAAGGGCTCGCTATGCGTTCGTAAGGCTACATGCGAACATATGTGTGTGTGTTTTCACATGCTTCAATGCCTTGTACAATTCTATGCTTGTGCCGCGCAATGTTACGTTTGTTATGGAGACTCCTACCGCTACATGGCATTCGCACAGTTTTCTGAATCAGTTTAGAGCAATAGCATGTGTCTTTCGTATAATTCCTGCTTGCCAGGCAGGCGTCCTAAATTCGATTCTCACTCTGGCTGCTACTATTAGCTATTTTATTTGCTTATTTATAGATTTTTTCAGTAATGAACAACATGAGTTTTTGCTCATAACCACCGACACTGGAATTTCTGTGAAATGAGCTCTCAGAGCTCTTTGACGCTATTGCGTTAAAATGCCTGTTATCAATTCCATTTTTTGGGGGTCACAACTCGCATAACCACATTTCACTCGCCACTGACAGTGCAAAGTGCAGTCAATGGAATGAGTTGAAAGCTACGGCAAATGGGAAGCTCGCACACCATTGTTGCTTGTCCTGTCCACCTGCATTGTTGATGGTGTTGTCATAGCAACAAATGCAGGGCTCGGCACCTCACTTGAACTGCCTCGAAGCGAGACTGTGCCAGCTGTTCCTAAAAAATGACATTCCATGTGGCACACTACTCTCATTCTGAAAAGTGAACCTGTAATGACAAGGGTGGTGAAGCACGATTGCCCCTTCTGGTCTAGCATACTAAGACCGTGAAGAGTTGTTTTGAGACTTGTTTGGTAAGCGACCCGAAGCGCTACAAGGGTGCAGCGACATCAATTTTTAAGGAAGGGGGTTACTTGCACTGCTTCAACGACAATTTAGATAGAGTGTACCGCACGTGCAGAACAAGAAAGTATGCAAATGTATAGAACGGAAGAGAAGCCTTTCGTACGAAGGTCCATCATTTCCGCATGCAGCATACCGCATGTGCAGAACAAGAAAGTATGCAAATGTATAGAACGGAAGAGAAGTCTTTCGTACGAAGGTCCACCATTTCCGCATGCAGCAGTTCTAGCAAGGGCCACCACGTGCTGATACAGTCTGCTGTCTTGTAGTTACTTGATTGTGGGATTGAAATCGAAATACTAAGCAATTTGCTAGTGGTGCTTAGACCTACTTGGGAAGTAAAAACAGCGCAAAAATATAGACAAGTACAGAGGAAGAGACGACACCGCGCTGATTTGTCCTTGTCTATATATACTGACCTATATATACTGATCTATAGATGTATTGATCAATATATACTGATCTCTGCTTGTCTATATTTTTACACTGTTTTTAATTCCCAAGTATGAACCACCAACTAGCCCAACTTTTGCTACTATTGCAGCTTAGACCTATGCTAAAATTATCTCCAGCCATCTGTCTTCGCGAGCTGCACAAATGAAAAATAGATGTTTCAAAAGTCTCAAAACGCCTTTATCACTCCCGAGGGGAAGGCAGAAAATTTTTTTAATGAGGATGCTTGGGCGCATTCGTTCTTAAGCAGCACCACCAAGGAAGATGATGCTGCCACTTGGATACCAGTTGTTACACTTTTTCAGCTAAGCCTGCGTGAGGGTACTGACCAGTCAATTTCAAATGGTCCGATGTTGAAAAATTTAAAGGTCGGAATAATAAGTTGTAGCCTATTAAAGTATGTCCCAGCACCAGCTTAGACTTTGATGTGGATTGAATAACGGAATCATAATTGTCAGGAGTGACATTAATTTTTTTTACATTGGCTCTGTACTTGCGAAATCAGGTGTTACCGTATATGTCCGGCAGAACATGGGGCATGCATTAAGCCTCAACTTGGAGATGCTATGTACAGAATTGTGTATACCACTTGATTTTTGCGAATTGTATCTGCTATTGGATAAGAAAGAGCAGGGTACACAAACTTTCGATGTATTGAACCTCACACAAAACAAGTTTGTTATTGACAAACTTCATTTCGCAGTCTTCTGTTGAATACGATCACTTCGCTGAATGTGCCACGATTCATTCATCACGAGCCATGGTGAAAATATAATTTTCGCAACCTCTAAATGGACGCAACTGAAAATGAAGCTGCAGTCTATTTCTAGCCTGAGATTACATTTATGGAAAACAGCACTAATAACTTCATGAAGGATATTTAATTAGTGTAATTATGGTTAATTATTACAAAACATTTAGTTATGACATTGTTTTTGTTGTAATCAAATATTAAGTGCCTTGAATTAACACATCGTTTCGACACATTTACAGACAGTTACTCATTGGAGGTGTCCGAAAGGGTTCGAGTGTCTACAGCGCAATTTCACGTGTCTACTCATTGTCAAGAATAAAACCACACTTTCATTTTCGGCATTTATTGGCGGAAGTGCCTTCAAGTCATTAACAGAGGAGGAAAATGTTTGTACATGTGCTCAAGAGGTGTTTGCACCTCTTGCTTGGGAGGTATTGAATCGAGTCCAACAATCCAAGGCCTTAGCTGGTTCTCCGACATACACACACACACAAAAAAAAAAAACAAAAAAAAACATGCAGCACTGCAAGTTGAGTGCATGCTGGGTACATTGAAGCTGATGGTTCACAAATTTCACGCAGAATGTGAAAAACATTTTCACCAGAGGTCTACATAAGGGATGTCTGTAACAATGTGTGTGCTAATGGCTGATTGGGTGGTTATTGAGTTGTGGAAAGAAAACAAAACTTTGTGTTCGAAGTTTGTTCGTTGTGCTTTAGCAAAAGCTGGTCACTTTTTTTGTTTGGAACCTCATTATGGCCTGTGTGCTATGGTTTCTGAACTGTACTGAAATTTCTTTTTTTAAATAGGCACATAATTGTGAATATGGTTAGATGTATGGAGAGTTACTCCACTCTACTGCCAGGTAAGTAATGTATCGCAAGCTGCAGGTACATTACTGGTCTAGCAAACAGCCAACAGGGTGAACGGCTGACTTCGGGTCTTGAATGCATCAATTAAGAACTTCACTGAGCAGAAATATACAAGGAATCAATTGGGTGATCAAAAAGAAAAGAGAGTGAGTAAAAGATACATTTGTGAAAAGCAACGAGTGCAGCCACTGTGGAAATTTCACTTAACTGCTTATATTGACCTTCAAAAAAGAATATGACAGCATTATCGTAACAAGCGATAGCATCCGCCACTGCAATGCAATGTAGCATCCACAGCACACCGTTCACTTTAAAATCATTTGTAATGCCTCATGTCCTTGTGTAAAACCTCCAATTTGCGTGAGATTTTGGAGCACTTTGCTTGATGCAAACAGCATTCTACTTTATACTGCAATATGTGCAAGAGACATTGAAGCTCTCATGCCCATCGAATGTCACATCACAACAACTGGCTAGACTGAATGCGCACAACATGCATCCTTACGTGCATTACATGTCGATACGCGACTGATTAACGTGCTAACTTGTTAGCGCGACAGTCGTTCTGGGCGGTGGTCAGCGATATGAACTGTAACGCAAAAAAGGCCACGCATATCTAACCTCTAGCTTACAGAAAAAGTCATTAGTGTTTCACACTGTTTTCTTAATATCCTTGCTTTCAGGCATATGAGCATCTGCGATGGTCGTATGCTTATAGACTGTACAGGTGCTTTTGTGGGCAATCAATTAGTCAATCGTTGCACGCTGAACAAAGTAAGCCTTAAGTGACGGAGCCAATGTACACATGCCTCGATACGCTAAGGTGAGGTGTGTGTGTGTTTTCTGTTTTCAGGTGGCTCCAGGTATGGTAAATGTGCTGCACATTAAAAGCGTATGCAAGCACGGGCTTGTGTGCTTTGCGATGGAAGTGTTCTGTCCATGCACCTCCTGCTTCTGTGCATCTGTTTCATATAGTTTTAGTGTAACAGAGAAGAGGTCTGGAACTAGTGCCCAAGGAATATGTATGTCATATTTCCATGTCATATTTTAAAGAAATATTGTTACTGTTACAGCGTGTATGAGCATGACTAATTTTTTTCATTGTTTTATTTTAATGAAGTATTCAACAAGGAAATTCAAATAAGTAATTTTTTTTGCGAGTTAACGTTTTGCACCTTACAAAATGAGCACACTAATCGACAGGAACGTCGATGGCACCCTTCCAGGTGTGTGCAGGTTGCAAATTACGAAACAAACTCGCAGTCAAACAAAAAAACAAAATTTCGCAACTATTTCAAGTTACATATCCTACAATAGCTCATTGCAGTAACACCTGACAAATACAATGCAAGATTTGACCACGTGCTAAAACTTGTAGTTTAAAAAGTCCTTTGTTGGCAGGGACAAGGTCGATTTCACTGTGTAATTTGTTCTTTTGCCCCTAGAATACTCGGATTTGAAAAATTAGTGATGAGTGTGAATGAAATGATGTAAATAAGTTGAGAAAGTGTGTAGAAAGTTTCGTCATACGACGAGTATCATGTGCATTCTCAAAAAGCACGGGCGACACACTGCGCATTACAAAAACTGCAAACTCCGAAGCGCTTACATTTGCCCCTTAGCAACGTTTATATGCTAGTCTGTAGCGTCAGAGATTCCATTTAAATCGTTTACCCCCTCCATTTCTATTACTCCTGCCTGAGCTTCGGTGATAGCTCTCTCTGTAGCCGTAGCGCAAAGCTCACTACAATAATTGTGAACAATTGCAATTTAGAACTGTTTGAGTGAAGCCAGTAGAGGTTCAGACAATTGAGCACAAGCACAATCATAATAAGGTAGTGGCCGAATGACTATTTTCACAACTCAACGGTTACTAAAGATGCAGAACATCTGTCCATCTGTCGCGAAAGAAACCTGTTTTTCAAGTCTGCCGATTAACGAATTTCGATGTAACAGTAGTTTCGATTCAGCGAGACTTCGCGGGCCGAGTAGACGGCGCTGTAGCTGTTGAAACGTTTCATCGCGGAACTCTCGCTTTCCTTAATGTTCCTAGTTAATAAGCCCTTTCAATATAACGAAAGTTTCGATTTAGCGAAACATGTATAATTTATCGCCTTGCTGTCTCGAGAATTCGACTCGGCTCTTAGATAACGAGGGTACTGCATGCTAGCATGGGAGCAACGTTACACCTTTCAGGGAGGGCAAAAGAATATGAACAGCAACAAATCAATAAATAAATGAAAAGTGAACTCCAAGATATCGCACAGACATGGTGGTGGGTGGATATATGTATAGGTTCAAAGGAGGGTGTCGAGGTGTGCGCGGTTGATCCGCACCGGGGCAGCGCCTGTAGCGTATTCGGGGCGAGGAAGGAGTGCATTGTTCACTGCTTCGATGGTTCGACCGGTCCCGCAGGGCGCGGTGGTGTATTGCCAAACTGGAAGATGCGCGCGCTGGGGCGTCGATGTTCTTCGTCTCACTGAAGGGGATGCGTGGCTGGGCGCCCCGGGCTCTCACTTGGGAGCCGTCAGGATTGTAACGAACTCTGCGAACGGAGAGGGAGACAAAAAGACACGGCAGATTTTCAGGGTTGAGCGAAGTCGCTGAGAGACAGAGATAGAGAGAGGGGATGAGGAAAGAAAAAGACGCAACTTCTGCAGCCCCAGTTGAGCAACTAGGGCTGCAGAAGTTGCGTCTTTTCCTTTACTCAACTTCTCTCTCTCTCAGCAACTTTCCTCAACCGTGAACTTATTTGCTGCGATGAAAGCATTCAGCAATGAGGACCGCCGTGGTTTGCTTTTCTGTCGGCGCAACTACGGGGGTAGGGACATGAGGCCTGCGACTGTATTATTGACAGCGCAGTGGGGCTATCAAAAAAAAAAAAAAAGTGAAGTATTCAAATAGACAGAGAGGATAAAAACGTCATAGCTTCACCCGATAGGCGAAGCCGCTGAAAGCGATAACAATGCACCTAACATGTAGAAAGGTTTTCAACTTTATCTGCCTTATGCATTGAAATGAGCATTCACTGACTAGTTAAATTGCTGTTGAGGCGGGGATAGAGACTGACCTCTACCCTCGCCGCGCGAGGATGGCGCGACCCCGCGCACAATTTCCGTCGATTCCACAGCTATAGCTTGAATGGAACGCGGTGACATACCTCATCACGCTCGCCCTTTTACGGAACATCACGGCGACGGCAAATGTTTTACCGCAGTGTCCTTATAATAGTTATCACAATGAAACAAGGGGGCTTATAGGGATGATACGTAATATCATCAGCGTACCGTCGTAGTTAACGAGTCCGTCTCCGTCGAGGTCCGCTTCTCGGATCATGTCCTCGACCTCCTCGTCGGTGAGCTTTTCGCCCAGGTTGGTCATCACGTGCCGCAGCTCGGAGGCCGAGATGAAGCCGTCGCCGTTCTTGTCGAACACGCGGAACGCCTCGCGCAGCTCCTCCTCGCTGTCCGTCTCCTTCATCTTCTTGGACATCATGAACAGGAACTCGTTGAACTCGATCGTCCCGTTCCCTGCGACGTCATCGTTTACGTCAGTGAACAGCATCTTCGGCCGTTCTGTTTCGATAAAACGGTAAATATGTAAACAAGGAAGACTAGGAACGTCAGTCGCGGCGGGGTAAGTGGTGTCTTCCACCTCCGCCCCCTCTCCCTCCCTTTCAGAGCTAGTTTCCTTCCTCGCGTTGTTTGCGGCGAGGTGTCGCCTCTCGGGCCACACACCTTAACAGCCCCTAATTTGGGCTAGCATTTTGTTCCAGAAAGTAGTATAAGGCTAGAATGAAAAGCACCCAAAATTTTGTTATAAGAAGAGAATGTTCAGATTTATTTTCTTTACCTTACTTTATCAGCATCAGCAAGATCTGTCTAGACAAAAATTCTGCCGGTGCAAAGCCAAGCTGCATCAGCGGATTGGGAGAAGTGGGGGAGGGGGGGGATGTGGCTTGGGTCGAGGGCATGTGTTGGTCACGCCTCCATATTATCGTATACCGTCACCTTGAGTTTTTGCTGCAAGAACATGTCACGTGAACGATATTTGCAATCTTAACTGGACTGCCCTGGTGCACGTGCGTGCAGGGCAGACGCGCGGAGAGGCGTCAGTCGCCGGCGAATGTGTGTGCATCTCGTCTTGAAGAATCTGGAGCGGCGCCAGTTTGAGAGCACGCAAATAACAAAAGCCGGGGCAGAGACACTGAGAGAACCCTTGTACGCTCGTCGTGTGCCAGCGTGAATTCTCTGTTCCTCGCGAGCGTTGGCTCTGCTCCTGATTGTTCAAGATGAACAGCCGTCAAGTCTTCATCATTAGCATTACGGTGTTCTTTCTCGTGCCGCTGGACTGTATACGCGTTTAGCTTAGCTCCGCCAACCTCACAACCCATCATGGAGTGCCGCGGGACCGGTTAATTTTTTCGGTGTCTTTAACTATCATACGAAATGGCCCGTGTGCTCAGATTTGGGTGCACGTTAAAGAACCCCAGGTGGTCTAAATTTCCGGAGCCCTCCACTACGGCGTCTCTCATAATCATATAGTGGTTTTGGGACGTTAAACCCCACATATCAATCAATCAACTATCATACGAACGCAATAACTCGGCCGGCACGAGCTCTCCCTGTCCTCCTCCTCATATTCTGCTTCCCTCTCGGAATACGTGCTCCGATTTGTCCGGCGTGGGATGCAATAACTCGGATGTCCGAAAGAACAAGTTTAAAAGGACGCTAGAGGGAAACAATGATTTGGTTTGGATTGACAAACTGCACTCTGAGAATTCTGATGCCACGTGTTTCGTAATCACAAGTTCATTAATAGTGGGAAAAAAAAAATGAAGGTTGAAGTTTCACGTTTAAATTTCGCGCCAAAATTTCCGCCTATTACGTCGAAAACTGCAAAACGCATTTTTTTGTATTTTCGCGACATTGGCTCGACGAAAGTTCTCCGAAACCTCGTTTGCTATAGGTCAATGACACTTACAGATGGTGTACTTCATTTTTATCGATCGGAAGCTACGCGTGACCCAGCCGACGCCTTCAATAATTGATGACGTCACAGCGTTTGGTGCGGGAATCTCGAGATGGCGTCTCCACCCGCATTTTCTTTTCGTGCGTTTTCTCGCTCATTGAACGTCGTGCCGCGGTAAGAGTGGTGTATGGCTATTGTGAAACTGTGCTTTACCAATACGCGGAAAACCGTTTTGCTCTTTAGTGTCCCTTTAAAGAGAGAAAAAAGAATGGTGGCAAGGCGGAAAAAAAAAGTAGATAGAGTGACAAATAGATAGAAAAGGACACACAAAAAAAAAGAGAGCCAGAGAGAAGGAGAGAAAAAGAGAAATTGAAAAATGCCCCCCCCCCCCCGCCTCCCCGAAGGGAATCGTGAGGAAATGCGAATGTAGTTCTTGCACCGAGAGAGGGTACCGTTGTCTTCAGACACTCGCCTTCTCCGACGTTCGCCATCGGCTTGAGAGGCACCCAGCCAGCGAACGGTCGAGAGTGAGGAGTGAGCGGACGGGAGAGTCCTAGCCCGACTAAGAATTTAAAAGGAAGCGAGAAATAGAGAGAGAAAGAAAGGGAAGAAAGACAGAAAGAGCGAAAAGAAACAACAAGAAAGGAAGAGGGGAATAAATTTCAATAAATGTGGACAAGAAAAAGGCAAAGTAAAAATATAGAAAAAAAATGAAGAGAATTAGGGAAGGCCGCCCAGTTCGGCTGTTCTTTCAGGCGTGGCGCCACAAGTACGAAACGGCCTTAGTTTTTTTTTCTTTATCACTTTATGAGATGCAAAAAGAGAGATTTCGCAGGTACTTTTCCGTTTCCGCAGAGGAGCACCGTTCCCAGGGCCAAGAAGACTTGACAAAAAAATTATATTTATATTCACTTGAAACACAGGCTCACCGTCTGTATCTACGAGTGTGACCATGTTCCGCAGTTCTGTCTCGGTCGGTCTCTGTCCCAGAGAACGCATGACGATTCCCAGCTCTGACGACGTAATGCGGCCGTCAGAGTCCTTGTCGAACAGCATGAAGGCCTCCTTGAATTCTGCGAGTTCACACAGACAGGAACGTTTTCATGTGATCGCCCAAGTGACAAACCAAGCGCGACGAAAGTTTGCTGTAGTTCTGCAGTGTAAATGAGCAAGTAACTGCAATCGGCTTTGACATTTTGTAATTGTAATGCCACTTGTTTGCCTGTACAATAGCCGTAACTGATCGACGTTGTTATCACTACCAAGACATCTATGACGAACACTACTATACTACTTGCTACTAGTATTGATTTTGCTGCTACTACTTCTACTGCTACTACCATATGCGTGCGCCCGAGGGGGGCACGGGGGCACCCCCTAGTCACCTAAGAGGGGGCGCGAAGTCTGCTCCACACAATGACTTAATAGGGAGGGGCGACGCTGCGAAAAATGTTGCCCCCCCCCCCTCTCCCGGGGAAGGGGACTCTGGGCACGCCTATCACCACTACTGCTGCTGCTGCCGCTGCTGCTATACCACCAGCTACGCAGCAACAACGACACCAACCGGTCTTACATTTCTTACACAATCACTCCACAGCGCCGAGCATGCGGCTCGCTGGGCACGATGAATGCGGAGGCACAACTCCGAGCTCGTTCTCGTTTAAGACCCGTGCGATCCTTTGTCCCGTGCAAACGGTGCCGCGAGATGACAGCTCCCGGCCGGCTCGGACGGCGGGCAAATGTCGAGGCCTGCACAGCGCCGTCGTCGACCTCTCAAGCGTCGGCGGCGGCGGTGCGTAATGCAGCTAGCTAGCTCCTCGTGCGAGCTAAATCGGTCTTGCGTGCGGCAGTGCTCGCTTGCTTGCTCGCTCGCTCCAGTTTCGTCGCTGACCGCCGCGACGCTTCCGAGCACGCCTACGCTATTTGAAACCGGTGGCGCGTACGCGTGACATTCGTGTTCGGTGCGCCCACGCGCACCGCGGGCCGTGATTCTTTTAGACGTTCATAAAGAACCCTCAAGCTCGATCTTATAGGCATAGCCTCGTAAAGGTCAACGGGCACGCAGGCAGCGACGCCTATGAGAGCTATAGAGAACTTGGTCTGAGTTTTGATTGGGTAACGTAGACGCCTCGCCGAAACTGGACGGTGTACGGTGGCAGTGTACAGGTCCCGCAAATTAAGAACTATTATAATTATTGTGCGATTTACATTTTTTTAAACTTCTGATTCTTTCAAGAATTGCACTCTAGTGCCTGCGCCGGAGTGTTATAGATTTTATGACGACCATAGAACCACTTTTTTTTTTCATATCCTGTACAGAGTGCGCCAGCTTTTTCTACAATATACAGACAGGTTCTAGCATAGTATAATGTGGGTTTATATAGCCCAATCTTAAGAATTATTCTTACACTGATATACCGGCTGGTTCTAATCGTTGTATCAAATTATGTGCCTGTGCCAATATTACAAAAATGGGGGCTAGAGAGCCATTTTCAACACAGGAACGAGTGCCATAAAGCAGTGTTCTACAAAAAAACAAAAAAAAAACTCCCAAGAATTTCCCCGAGGGTGAACATGGTTAAGTGCGAATACACGGGGTGATGCTATGAGGGGTATTTATTAATTCGCACTATTATATTTATTAATCACACTATGGTGCCTTTATGGTGTAATGGTTCCTGGGAGTCGCAATTTGATCACACGGGGGAGTTTACGTTAACTCACTGGCGAATGCCAACGGATTTTAACTTTACTCCCCCTCACGACCCGCTCTCGACGGGAGACTGAGAGAGAAGGCGGGCGCGCGAGAGAGAGGGGCGCGCGCAGCTGCAGCGAGAGAGGAGAGCGGAGGAGCGAGCGAAGGGGGAGAGGGACTATCAGCGTCGCGTCCGTGGCTTATTCGGTAGAGCGTCGCGCTGCGGCCCGCCAAGTCCTCTTTCTTTTAAAGATAGAGAGAAGACTGTGGACGCCGCCGACGGCGGTGGATGGTTTGGGGTCGCTTATAAAGTGTATTCACACTTAAATATCTAGCCAGTTCTAAGCCGTGAAATTTTCCAGACAACGAAGCTGTCGCTCCTTTCATCAGGCATTACGTTTTTCTCCTAAGTTTCAGCAGATTTCACCAAGAATTTTTAGTGATCTTTTTCTTGTTCGGGTTAAGCCATGTGGACCTCGCGCGACAATTCACGGCCACGCTGAAGCGCTGCACGGTAGCGTTCCAGGGTGGCCGTAGCCCACTTCACCGAGCCGCTCGCCGTAAACTGATATCAAGGCGAGAGCCTTCGATAGCTAAAATTCTTGGAAACATTTCGTCACGCATACAATAGACAAAAAAAAAAGAACAAGGCGAGAGGACCAACGGGCCTTCTCAACTTTCGTTTTTTTCATTGCGTGCGCGCCGAAAGGTTTCCAAGAATGTTTTCAAACCAACTATAGCCCAACTTTCCATACTGTTACAGTATCATTTAATAGCCCATGTTCCAGGGTCCTTCCGTGCCCTGGAACGGTGCCAGCTGTAGCCTCTCCCCCTCGCACCTCTCTCAGAAATTGCTGTGATGGCACAGTGCGTCTCTCCCGTAGCCCGGTCACAACGCGCCCCCTCGTGGAAGAAAGGAGACGCGCGAATTGTGTTCTATTCTGACCATAGAGTTTCCCAAAATTGACTAGAGGGCACTCTGGCGCTGCAACCGTTCAGCAACCATGGGAATGATGGGTAGTACACACATTTGCCTAGTCTTCGTACTTGCGGGCGGCGAATCGTACTTGCGGCTTCGTTTATTACTGGTTACGGTTTTGTTTTGAAAGAAAAAACAACCCTTTTGAACTTAGGGACTTGATTCGAAATAGTAAGCTTAAAAGAATAAGGTTGTGAAACGCAAACGGTGAACATTTCCTAATTTATGTTTTCGCGAAAAAGCAGCTCCAAGCCACACGAACACACACGGAGCCAGAAGCAGGCCAGAAGTATGAAAATTAGACAAATGTGTGTACTAACTATCATTTCCATGCTCACTGAAGCACCGTGTGTTGCAACTCCCATAGACACTAGCGCCAGAGTTCCCTCTAGTAAGTATTGTGGGAAACTATGATTCTGACCGACCCCGTCTCAATGCGCGCAGGTTTCCGCCGAACACACTTTGGAATTTACGAAGTGTTATTCATTCTTAATACCGCGGCTTCGCTGGACTTCAAGCAACGTAACAAGCGCTGCTAATCTGCATGGCGTGCCCGCGTTACGCCAGCGAACTACGAAAGATCGACTAAGAAGAGCTTCACTGTTAAAGTAAAATTGTTAGCGTTTTTCATGTATAATTATTTTTTTGAGTATCAGAAGAATAAATGTGTGGTGTTTAACGTCCCGAAACCACAGTATGATTGTGAGGGACGCCGTAGTGGAGGGCTCCGGAAATTTCGACCATCCAGTGTTCTTTTACGGGCACCAATATGGCACAGCAAATGGGGCTCTACCATTTCACCTCCGTCGAATTGCGACCGCCGCTGGCGGGATCGCACCCGCGACCTTGGGTCGGCAGCTGAGCGCCGAAACTGCTGCACCACCGCGGCGGACAGTATCGGAGATATGTTGACATGTACAACACTGGAGCGAATAAGAGACGAATATATGAAATGACAAGGCCGAAGAGCTGTTGGAATCGGTCTTCTAATTCTTGTTTGTCTATTGCGTTTTCGGTGGCCCGTATGCGCCATGGCTTGCTTCTTTCTTACATATACTTCATGCTACTGTTATGCGTGTGCTAAGCTTTAATGTCACGTCCGACATTACAATGTCGCGTCCTTAACTGCAGAAAGAGAGAGGGGGGGGGGGAGGATGGAAAGATGGATAAATTAGGTAGCACTACTGGGAATTCGGCAAAGCATCAGCGCACAAGTTTTGTTTTCACGTTAGTGATACTTTTGGATTGGACTTACAATCTCACCAGGCGCTACAAATGTGACTCATATACAGTTTCACGCAGAATAGAGAGTAGACTGTCTGCCCAGCTTATTGTTTCTCAGCGCTGTCCATTAGGCAAAGTGAAGACGTTTCGGTTACCTCGCATCAAGCTTGTCTGCTTCCGTAATACGATAAGACATCCCGCCCTGACGCTTCTTCCTATCGTTTCGGGGAGTTTTGAAAGAGTGGCTTTTAGGTGAAGTATTCCTCGTTGAAGAATAAAAGAAGCCAAACGGAATGGACGGGCCTAACATCCAGGCTAACGCCGAGACTCCACGAGAACCCGAACCTTCGCCTGTAAATCTAGCTTTGCCTTCGACAGCAAAGCAATGCGAGAAAAAACGCTACCGTCGAGTGTTGTCGAACAATCTGACAGTGCCCGCTTTAATCGAATTTAGCTTCTATCGCATCGAAAGATGTCACATCGCATGACATAGATTGATGACGTAAAGTGAAGTGGGCAGAGGAAGGGAGGGTGAGTATGTAAGAAAGAAGGCGAGGAAGATGGGGGAAACTTGAATTCGTTCCAAGCAAAAGCGGCAAGCCCCAGCATGCACCCGTTCCGGAGGAGTTCTAAGCCAGAAAGATCTCCTCGAGAGATTGCAGCGAGGTTGATGCGGAAGGAGGAAGTTAGCTCTTTTATCAAAAGAAAAAAAAACAGGGCTCGTAAAACAACACGTATAAACGGAGCCGCGGTAATAAACGTGACGCTGCTTTTACGTCACGCTGGCACTCGGCCTCTGAAGGGTTGGTGTTGGGACGTGAATTAAAGGAGCAAACCAAAATATGATAAGATAGAGCAAAGAGTGATTAGCCGAATGCTTCGGTGCAGCGCGTGCATTTTGAGCAACTGCCACGTCATGAAGAGGCTGCCCGCGACGATTCAAAGAAATGCGAATAGCGAGAAGGTGAAGATGCGGAGAAGCGAAACGCAGATCTGATGACGAGTAATGTGACGTGCGGAAAATGGCAGCCGGTCGCTGCTACAATGAACTCTGTTCACAGCGCGCTGGTCGCGTACGTATGGGAATGTTGAGGAACGAGTGAAGGCATAGTGCTGTGCAACATCCGAGACTGATTTACACGTCTGTAAAAGCGGTTTCGGAGCAGGTGCGAAGG